TTATTCTTCCCTGCCCCTTCCTTTGTTCGTTGCTCTAGCCGTTGGTTGCATTGCGATTCGTGTATGGATTGCAAGGCATGGCATGGCAGCGACAGTGTGATGTGATGTGATGTATAATACAATACGATGCAGCAAAGGCAATTTCTTTCTTTCGCAGCTTCCGCTCACCCCTGGATCTCTGGATCTCTGATTCTCCGCTGTACTCTTCATCTTGTGGAGAGGAGTCGGCCAGTCCCTGCTGTGCGTCGGATGACAACAGGAACCAGAGACTTGGGTTGTGATAGCAAACATCAAGATTGTTGCAGGAGGAAGAAAACACATGGACGCTCGATGGTTGCAATACGTTCGTTTGTCGTCCCCTGACCCTCTGGCTGACAATCCACTCCTCAAAATCCAATCACTGAAAAGCGCCTGACGCGGTGAGAATGCTGCCCCAAGCTTCTCTCCTGCTATCGAAATAGGCGACGCGACTTCCGTCCTCGGGCCGGAGAAATTGTCGCTCAAAATGCATCCTAGCGTCCAAAGATCTCGTGGAATCTCGCAGACAGTCAAGCTCAACTGTTGGCTGACGCACATGCATTTGTGCTGCTGTCACCGCCTAGCCTGACCCTCAACAAAGATCGTCCCAATCCTGGTTACCTTATCCCTTTTTGGTGTACAGCCTGGCAGCAATGTTCATGCTCCACAATTCCTGGAACAACAGCTTCGCCGCATATGGCAGGTAGATCTGACTGATACGGTTCTTGTTGTTACAGTTCTTGCACTCAAAAGTATTCTTCTTGAGTTTCGCGATCACCGTCATCAATCCGCAAATGTCACAAATGTGCACGCGGAAAGGATCCGACACGTCGAAAAGACGTTCTTTGAGGAATGACGAGGCACCATGCGCGATCATGCAGTCGCGTTCCATTTCACCGAAACGGAGACCACCATCGCGAGCACGACCTTCAACAGGCTGTCGGGTCAAGATTTGAGTGGGACCCCTTGCCCGGGAATGGATCTTGTCGTCGACCATATGTCTGAGACGTTGGTAATACGTAGGGCCGAGGAAGACTTGTGCGACAAGTTTCCGTCCAGTGTGCCCGTTGTACATGACTTCAAAGCCTCGAGATTGGTAGCCCATTCTCCTCAACAACTCGGAAATCTGCGTCACCGTGACTTTTGTGAACGGGGTGGCGTCACCTTCGTCACCCCGAAGTGTCGCTACCTTTGAGAGTTGACATTCGATCAAGTGAGCAATGGTCATTCGAGAGGGAATGGCGTGCGGGTTGATGATGAGATCGGGCACAATGCCTTCTCGCGTAAATGGCATATCCTCATGACGGTATGTAATACCAATGGTACCCTTCTGACCGTGACGAGATGCGAATTTATCACCAATCTGAGGCACTTTCGTAGTTCTTACCCTGACCTTGGCAAACCGATGACCCTCGTTGGTTGTCGTCAGCAGAACCTGGTCGACAATACCCGACTCTGTAGACCTCAGGGGTGTTGATACGTCGCGCTTGATGTGCTGTTTCTGTCTCTGGCCGAGTTCTTCCGCATCTGGTGCCATAGGCGCTGTTTTGCCCATAATGATGTCCTCGCCACTCACGCGGACACCAGGAGCGACAATTCCGTCTTCGTCAATCTTGTCATAGGTACCGTGCTTGAGTCGGAGAGTGTCCGATCTTGTGGGCTTCTCAAACTGCTCTACCACGGAGTGGCCGACTATCTTCTCCGAGTCTTGGTAGGTACGGTAGAACAGCGAACGGAAAAGTCCACGGTCGATGGAGCTCTGATTCATGATGACGGAATCTTCTTGGTTGTAGCCCGAATAGGTCGCAATGGCCACAATGGCGTTCTGCCCGGCAGGAAGCTCTCGGAATTTCAGATAATCCATGGCCATCGTTCTGGCAAGAGGTTTCTGAGGATAGTAGAGGATGTTGGCCATAGTCTCCATCCGTTGATCGAAGTTGGTGAGGAAGACGCCCATAGCTTGCTTACCCATGGCAGACTGATAGGTGTTACGAGGCGATTGGTTGTGGTCAGGGAAGGGGATGATACTGGCGCAAACTCCCAAGATCATACTCGGATGAATTTCGCAATGAGTGAAGGTGTGGGAGAACGGGTTTAGGAGAGGGTCGTTTCTCCGCAAAGGATCATCTTCGGCCTCTATCTCCATACCCATCCATCTTGCTTTGGAGTCGGCCAGGGCCTCAGGTGTCATGATGATCATCGCCGTCTCTTCTTCCTCAGCATCAAGGTATTCAACAACACCTGATTCAAGGAGATTGTTCCAACCGTATGGTCGGATTTCGTCTGTAAACTGGAAGCCGCTTTCCTTCAGATAAGCAGTCTGATCAAGCTTGTTGATGTGTTCCTTGTTCAGCACCAAGTTGCCACGGTTCTCTGAGGCTGGGTCGGTCTCAACCACAAACAGGGGACGGACAATTCTTCCCGAGTCACCGTTGACTTTGAATTCTTTCTCTCGAATGTCCCAAACCAAACTGACTTGGGCATCGAAGACGCCCTTTCTCCGAAGCTTGCGCAGGTCATCCACCAGGCGTTTCGGATCCCGTAGGACTACCGCAAACCACACACCGTCGACGAAGACCTTGGTTGCTTGAGGATTTAATCGAGGTTCCCAGTCTTCCAATGCTTCGACATGCTTGGTGAGGATATAATTCACCAGTGGAGCAGTCTCGTAAGTATTTGTAACCATTGACATGAGCGACAGGTTCTTGACCAGACCACAAGCCTGACCCTCGGGCGTCTCAGCTGGGCAGACATAACCCCAATGAGTGTTGTGGAGTTGACGAGGCTTCGCAATTTTACCTTCTCGACCGATCGGAGCATTGGTGCGGCGAAGATGTGACAAGGTAGAGGCAAAAGTGTACCGACTGAGCACTTGAGAGACACCAGCTTTCGCTTTGTCCAGCTTCTTCTGGTCTCCCCAATTGCCAGTGGCCAAAGAATATTTCAGGCCGCTGGTGATAATAGGATGCTTGAAGCCTGCCATGATATTGATGGGCTGGCCCGCTTCCACGCGCTTCTGCATATACCGGTAGAAGTCCTTGGTAGCTTTGTCAAACTGAAGCCGGAAGAGGTTGGTCATCAATGGTCCCGCAAGATCAAGTCGCTTTTTCCCTAGATGATCCCGGTCGTCCGGCTCTGCGCGACCGAGGGCGCATTTCAGCAATCGATTGACCATGTAGCCGAGAAAGAAAGCTTTTCTGGCAGTAGCATCTGGGCTTTGCCCAATATGGGGTAGAAATTCCTTCTGCAAGATGTCTGTGGCATGCTTTTGCCGTTCATGGCTTTTCAGAGTCGGAATGTTACCTCGGCGTGCGATAAAGTCTCGAGCCAAATCCGCGCCCTGAATGGCCTGGCCTTCCTGGAGTGAGCCCATCAACATATCCATCATCTCTTTATCACTCTGGTCGAAGCAGATCTTCTCCAGGATATCGGCGTCTGAGACAATGTCCAACGCTCGAAAGACAATAACGAGAGGAATATCCTGTTTGACGTATGGTAGCTGAACTCGAATCGGGTTGTCGATCTTAGTGCCGTCTGGACCATCCACTCTGCGGAAGAGTTTGACGGTGCACTGCGACATCATGCGGGCGCCGCGATCGATGACGGATCTGATCTCTGCGAGATGTGTAAACGGCGAGGGTGCTGCCTTTTGGAAGACCTGGACGATGTTCCCGGCACTTCGTTCTTGAGCAATGAGCACTTTCTCGGAACCGTTGATGATGAAGTAGCCTCCCTGGTCATATGGACATTCTCCCCAGGCGAAAAGATCTCGCTCGCTTTGAAACTTCTCGCTCACCAAGTGGCAGGTCATGCTTCTCACCATGATGGGTATCTTTCCTATGTATACCTCTTTATCATTGTCGAAGTCATCTTCATCATCACCCTCTCTCCAGTAAAGCTCGGTGCCGTCTTCTCTCATGACGCCAGAGTCTTTGTCATATTCGTCCCAAGGACGCTCCTTTGCGTAGTATGTTCTTCGCGTCATCTTGACATAGACTGGACTTGCGTATGTTAAACTCCGCATTCGTGCTTCGTGGGGCATGCAGTCTGTTGTAGTGCCATCCGGCTCGACCTGATTCGGCTTGCTGAGCGTAACCTTGCCAAACTTGACTTCATGTCTCTTGATGACGATCGGATTTGGGTCATTTTCATCGACATTTTGGGCATGATCTAAAGTGACGCCACCCTTTTCGTTGACTAGGTCTTGTAGGCCCGAGCGCATGAAGTGGTTGAATGAGTCTATCTGCATAGAGGCCAGCTTCTTGATGTCGAAGAAGGAACTGATGACTTTCCAGCAGTCTTCAGATGTGATGTCTTGTTCACCGGTCTCCACCTCCTCGTAGGCACCAGCTTGCCCATAGTAACCGTTCGGTTCATACTTCACGTCGAATTCCGCCATGGCCGGCGACCACTGCTATCAGAGGGATGAGAAGGTGCGCTCGCAGACGGTCGGCGATGAGTGAGCGAGTCGAAGCCGAATAAAGGGAAAGGAAGGAGGGGGAGGAGGTAAAGTCGAGGTTCCCTCCCTTTCTCAGTCGCAACTCAGATCTGCGGGATGCGCTCTGGAAAAAAGGGCACTGAATTGTCAGTCAAGACGTCAGATCCCTTCTGGAGAGTCACTCACGGAGCGACAGACAGCTAAATGCCCGAGCAGCCAGAGAAGGACATTCGGGTGTGCATGAAGGATGGAGAATTGTAAATTGTGGTTGCTGTGTAAGGAATGTCTCTGGGGATCTTTTTGGCGCGTGAAGATGCCGTGGCAAACCTGGCCGCTTTATTCAAAACAACGCTAACTACTTTTGGGTATATCTACATATTGTCTCCAGAGTGAATCCGAAGTCCTAGACAAAGTCAGAATGGCGACATGGCGGTCATGAATGAAGTGGGTATCATAATTATGCATAAGACTATGCATGTCAGCTAGCAGCAATTCGATCCTCCCTAATGGCATGATTAGATTTCACATTCACAAAACACCAGCTTCATTGCTCCACGCACAAAAGTAATGCTTCCAGCATCTCCTCCGTTGCCTTTGCTTCATCACTTTGACTAGGATCCATCCCGTTGAGTTGGTCTTTCAGGCTCCGCTCGAGAACCTTGAGCCCGTCTTCACCGAGGAGCACCGTGATGGTCTGCCTCGCTCCGTTATCTTCTGCCACCATCCAACTGAGGATTAACTCAATCGCCTGAAGTGAGAAGAGGCCGGCGTCCAGTCGCCGTGAAAACCACTCATCAGCCTGTGCCTGCAACTGTGCTTCGTTGAGATCCTGCCGTTCCCTCTGAATGTAGGCTTCCACCTTACTCAGTCTTGTCTTGTATTCCCGTCGCAATTCGACAAGCTTGGTGATCTTTTCGTAGTCATTTTCGACAAACTTAGCAAGAGTGCGTATCCGTTCGGCGGACCCTCCGGGCAGATACCTCAACATACTCGCAAGGATTCCGATAAGGTGCTCGACAAGGCTTCGCTCCATTTTGTGGGACTTCATAAGCATGCCGAAGATGGTCTTGAGTCCGGCCGCGTCCACTAATCTCATCGCGACGGCTGTTGCATTGCCTCCACTCATGGCATGATCGAGCACTCGCAGCGCCCGTGCTTTGGCCAAACGCCCTTCTCGGAGCATAATGAGACACAATTCAACGCCTTCTCCTTCCACAAACTTTTCGCCAGCAAGCCGTTCTTCCACCATGCAGGCTAAGCAATCAAAGAGATTTTCTGCAAACTCTTCCTCGTCTGAGTCTTTCTCGGGATCTCGCTTCCGATAGGCACTCAGAAGTTCAAGAAGAGAGTCGACCCCGTCTTTTCGTGCCAGGCGATCTCGGTTGTTTTTGTTGTTCTGCAGAAGTATGGCCAGAATTTCCGCCGCATATTGCCGGTTCTGCCCAACTTTTCCCCTCGCGTAAGGATCGACTTTCTTTATTCTCGAGAGGAGCCATTCCATCAATGAATCTTTTGACCCTGCAGCCTCCACGTTTCCGGTGTCGGATAGAATATTTTCGATCACGTTCAAGACGTGATAGACTCCTGCTCGGTCGCTCTCATTGTTGTCTTCGTCCAATCTGCTGAGGTTGCTGGTTAGAAGATCCACAATGTCACCTTGAATCATGGCTTTGACCAAGGTCTTCCACTGTTCTTCCGTAGTCGTTGAGTCTTCGTCTGTGAGTTCCACGAGCAATTCGCAGACGGCAATGGCAATGTCGGTATTCTCGTGCGCGAGCAACCCGACCAAACTGCCTGCGCAGCCCATTTTTACGAAGTCGGCGTACAACTCGCCATGTTCGCTCAACAGACTCAACCCTTTTATCTCAGCATCCAAGTCGGCCTCACTACTCACAAACTTCATGGGCTCGGCCTCGTATTTGGCTCGCAGTTCCGCATTCTTGTTGATTTTCCGTTCAAAGTTGATGGCCGTGCGGCGAAGCCACGCGGAATCAGTCTTCTCCTCCACTTCCCCAGCCTCATTTTTGTCGAGATAGTCAATCACTTCTCTTTCTTGTTTTGTGACACCGCCACCAAAGAAGCGCCCTTCCTCATCATCTCCAACTTCGTCCTCGACGTCTTCCGGTGGCCGCGCGGGTCCGGCCTCGAGATCATCTTCCTCGTCTAGGACTTCATCCTGCACAAAAGCAGCTTTGCTGCCCGAACCGTTGGAGGTAGACTCGTCATGAGAAGAGCCATTTGCGGAAGAGCGTGGAGAGGAACCGTTGGCCAATTTAGCGGATTTGTTGGAGAGGGCATTGGAGAATGATTTCGTTGGGTCCTCAAGTTTTCGCTTTGACGCGGCATTGGGTTTACGGAAAAGGTCATCAATCGAGGTCATGACTGCTCGATGGGCAGGCCTGTTCAGGGACCCATTGTCATCTTTTATCCTTGTGAAAGAAGAAAAGAGAAGAGAAGTATTGCACCACCGGAAAACATAGGAAAAGCGTTCAGGGCAGAAAGATCCGGACAACCGCAATTGAGGCTCGGCAGAGTTTCCATTTGAGCGTCTGCCACATTTTCCGTAACAGGAAGTCAATTAGTCAATTGTGCCGAGGAGCACGAAAATACAATGTGACTGAACCACATTCAACACCGCATTAGATCAGACCGAAAGAAGACCTTACACAAGTGGTAGTTGGTGTTTGAGATGCTCAGATTAATGCACTCGGATTTGTTCCAAAGTTGAGGCTGCCATTACCCACCCGTCGTCCACCCACAAAACATCCTACCCTTGCTACCACCCATTTCCTGATGCATTGTTAGTGCATTCCATGTTGCTAAAGAAGATCCAGACCCCATCCATAACATTCCCCGGAATTGTTGCTGGGATAGATATCTGGACCAAAAATCTCCTCAGTTTTAACGGTCAAAGAAATGTACCCGGAACCCGGGGTGGCCACGGTTGAACGGATTCTCGCAGTCGTGTCTTGTCGCATTCCGGCCCGAACCGTCCAATGACCTGTGCGATGTCTAGCTGCCGCAGACTGAAACCTCCGCGATCTGAAAAGCCTGATCGAACTGCAAATTATGAAGACACGATGCGCAGAGAGGAATGATTGAATTTAACGAGCAGCAATCGTCCCGACGTTTCGCAGACGTAGTGTCCCCGACATACTGGTGCTCAGTCCTCTAGAGACGGGAATGCATGAAATCCTTTTTTGTTGAACTTCGACAAGGCTCGTGGAAGGCACAAGGGCTGTTTCCACGCGGCCCTCAATCAACTGAACCCAATTTTTCATACTGGTTCTTGCCAATTTTCAGTCACTCGACAGTATCGGTAGTAAATCCTCTAGAAACGCCGTTGAGCACCACCGTTCCGCCTTTTCGCTGTCCGCATGAACCAACTATCATAGTTTCCAATGAGCCAGTCCCCGCGCCTGTCCTGAACCATGCTCGAATTATCTCCTAGCTCCTCCAGGTTCTTCCGTAACAAAACGCCTGGCTGATCGATATAACCTCCCCTTCCAAGTCTGGGAATACCAAGCCGTACCACCGTCGTGAACGTCAATATTCTTTAATACTTCCGTCTCCTTATTGTCTTGGGCACCTCGTCTCCATCATTCTCATACTCCTTCCCTTCATTGACATCTTTCTTCCTCAGCGTCCCGACGCCGTGTCTCACCAGTTCCTGATCATCCCCATCCGAGTCCTCAATGTCGTACAGCACCGGCAAGACAAAGCTATCTTCTTCGCCCATCTTCCTCTCGACCGTCAGGATATCAACATCTTCGTCTTCTCTGTCCAGGCGGCGCTTCTGGTGTTCTTCTTGTGGGTACTCGTCGAACTCATCCTCACGCTCAATGTACTCGACATTTTCTGTCAATTCCGTGAAATCAGGAGCCAATGCGGACCACTTTTGTTGTGGCTCGATGCCCCAGATCTGGATGCTACCCGTTTCAATGCTTGTGCAGGCTAGCAGGGGACGAGAAGGGTGCCATTCAATGATTGCGGGCTCCTCGCGGTTTTCCAGAATTCGGAGGAGAGAGTTGGAGCGGAGTTCCCAGATGTAGATATCCTTCTTCATGTACGTGGAGGCCGTCACGTAGTCCGCGATGCCGGTGGAGGAGCTATGGCTGAAGGCGCAGTGGTTCCAGCGAAGGCGGTTGACCAGGTCTTGGAATTTGTGTTCGACATTTAGGACAATGTTTTCTGCAAGGGTGGCAGGGTCGCGGTCATGGTGATCATCGCTACTGCTGGGGTCAGTATCCGGGGCGGTGGAGGGCGTGATTAGACTCAAATCAGGCAGATTGATGGTGCGGATGATGCGATCGGTGCTGTTAGCGAGAAGCTGGCGGCCATTGGTGGTCAGGCGGAGCAGGGAAATAAGACCAGCGGAGATCTTAGTGGAGTGAATGATCTTGCGCGATTCTGTCTCCAGGATATTAATGTACCCCTTCGAGGTGCCCGTAATGATATGGTTACCCAGCACGGAGAAGATTGCTGAGGTGGTGGCCTGCTTGTTCTCGGATCGAGGGATGCTATCACTCAACGGAGTAGTAGGAAGGACGCGCTTGACAGGAATGACTTCGGTGATATCAACCAAGTATGGTCTGTCTTCGAAAAGGGAGGCGACAAAGAGTTTGTGGTTGTAAGGGTGAAGTTCCGCTGTGTAGATTGGCGCTTCGAATTTGACGGTGCGGATACGTTCTTGAGTTTGCAAGTCCCAAAGACAGGCTCTACAGTCCTGGGATGCTGACAAGAGGTAGCGACCATCTCGAGACCAGCTGAAAGACCTTAGGAGCGTGCCAATGAATCATCTTGAAGAGACGTACCTCAAACTTTGTATCTGCTTCCAATGACCATGTAGTTTCATGGCGACTCCGTACGTCTCCATATCCCTTGAATGACATGTCAGTCATTACCCACCAGTTTCAATCGAGCTGCCAAAATCTGCACTGACCAAATTATGATCTTTCCATCCACCCTACCGGAGGCGAGATAGTCGCCCTTGCGACTAAATCTCAAAGTGGTGGCATGGCCGGATCCTGAAGTTGAATCAGTACTGGTTTTGACAAATTTGTTTCCTTCCACTTTAAAACGGATCGCCGGCTGAACATACTGAGGTCATTTGTGAGAGCGTCCGGAGAGTCTTGAGCTAGTTGGAACGGATCTATCAGTGCCAAATTCATGATGTACTTGTTGATTTGATGGAGTCTCACGAAAGCGTGGAGGCTTCAAAGCCGCTTGACGAAATGCGTCCGTTTCCACATCTGGTACTGGCGACATTGTTAGCCTGATCACGTGATAGGGGATGGCAAGCTGGAAATGGAAAGTCAAGCGAGAACGATGAGATAGCAAGATAGGAAAGGAGCGACGGGGAGGACAGATTCTTGTTAGTGATAACTTCTACAATGTCTGTCACTATGAGTCAAGTGAAGTGACAACGCTGTGCTTCACAAAGGCTGCCAGCCAAACGAAACCCAATACGACGGAAGTAGTTCTTTGTACCTCTCAAACACATTGTCTATCACATACTGTATCTTCGTGTCATCGACATTCTCATGGTAAAGAGATCTTTAGTGGCATTGTGCAAAGTTGGACTTCGGACACAGTTTGTGTTTTTACCCGTAGACACCTCCTCGTCTAGCTTGTTTCTCCTGAGACAGGCAGAGCTTTGATGTTGACCTGCCCATAACAAACCGCACGGGACAATTGAAAGTCCCATTTGACTCAGCAACCCTGTAAATGAAGGAAGCGACCGAGTAAATCTTGACCCTAGATTCACTTGATGTTCACTGCTCTCTGTACCCAGTGAATCTGTGTAATCGTTGTCACTGAATGAATAAGGTGAGGCTGAAAGGAGGCGAGCCTAGCCGCTAAAAATCCGCCTTTCGCTTCTGGGCTGATTGTCTTGGCGCGGCGCAGGCAGCCGCTCGCCCTTTCATCTCTCAAATTTTGCGCTGACCTTCTCATCCCTTCCTCATCCTCTTCCTCATCAACAACCCCACCCATCCTATCTCTAAACGATCGCGCCCACGAATCTACGCGTTCCAGCAGGCGAGCCGATCGCTTTCCAGGAAGTTTTGGATCACAATCAAGAGAATTGGTCAAGAGCGCAGCTGGAGGACAACACGGCATTGTTTTGGGCGGCCCGACAGGGCAAAGGTCATCCCTGACCAGCACCGCGCAGCCACCCGTGCAAGGACTGCGGTCATCCCAGATCGTGACAAGAGTAAAATATTCGTCTCACAAGGATAACGCGAGATCATTGGGATAACCACGAGCGACCATGGCGAGCCTCAATTTCCCTTACTCGAGCGCGCCTCTGCGCACAGTCGAGGAGATTCAATTTGGCCTCTTCTCCGCCAAAGAGACCGAGCGCCTCGCCGTCATCGACATCGAATATCCTGAGACGATGTATGTAGAAAATAAAAGACAAAAATCACTCGCTCTGATCATTGCTTTCTAACACTGTTTGACCAGGGATGAGCAACGCCTCAGACCTCGCGAGAAAGGTCCGAACGATCCTCATCTCGGAACAATCGATCGCAATTTCAAATGCAGTACTTGTGAAGAAAACATGGCCGAGTGCCCTGGTCACTTTGGTGTCATCAAGCTTGCAACTCCAGTCTATCACTATGGCTTCATGAACAAAGTCAAGAAGATTTTGGAGACGGTCTGCCACAACTGTGGCAAGATTAAGGCGCTTGATGTTAGTCTCTCCGGCGTCTTAACCTCTTATTGATCGCTGCTGACCTTGATGAAATCCAGACCGAAGAATTTCGACACGCAATCTCGATTCGAGACCGAAAGCGCCGCTTCGAAGCAGTGTGGCGACTCAGCAAGCCTCGAAACGTTTGCGAAGCCGATCCCATCGACGACCCCGACCAGCCTTTGAAAGGACCTCCTCAACCCAAGCATGGCGGTTGTGGCAATGCACAACCTGACATTCGAAGAACTGGATTGCAGTTGTGGGCGACATGGAAGCCACGGAAAGGCGAGGACGATGAAGATGTAACTCCCGACAAGAAGCGGATCTTTCCACAAGATGCTCTGAACACTTTCCGCACTTTGACCGACGAGACCTTGGAGTTGATGGGTCTCAGCCTTGATTACGCCCGCCCGGAGTGGATGATCTTGTCTGCGCTCCCTGTCCCTCCTCCACCGGTCCGACCCAGTATCAGTGTCGACGGCAGCGGCCAGGGCCAGCGGGGTGAAGACGATCTTACTTTCAAGCTGGGTGATATCATTCGTGCGAACCAAGCGGTGCTGCGAACTGAAGTTGACGGCACACCTGACCACATCAAGATTGATCTCTGTGATCTCCTCCAGTATCATATTGCCACCTATATGGACAATGAGATTGCCGGACTGGACAAAGCACAGCACAAGAGTGGTCGGCCCATCAAATCAATTCGAGCTCGACTCAAGGGCAAGGAAGGCAGACTGCGCCAGAACTTGATGGGAAAGCGTGTTGACTTCTCCGCCCGTACTGTCATCACTGGTGATCCCAACCTTTCTCTCGATGAAGTTGGTGTTCCTCGAAGCATCGCCCGCACATTGACCTACCCGGAAAGAGTCACACCGTTCACGATTGACCGGCTGAGACGCCTTGTCAGAAACGGGCCAAATGACCATCCGGGTGCGCGATACGTAATTCGGGACACCGGAGAACGTATTGATCTGCGACATCACAAACGTGCTGGAGAGATGACTCTTCAGTATGGCTGGATCGTTGAGCGCCACATCCAAGACGGAGACGTTATTCTCTTCAACCGTCAGCCATCTCTTCATAAGGAGTCTATGATGGGTCATCGTGTCCGAGTTATGCCCTATTCGACCTTCCGACTCAACCTTTCCGTCACTACGCCCTACAATGCTGATTTCGACGGTGATGAAATGAACTTGCACGTTCCTCAGAGCGAAGAATCTCGAGCCGAGCTCGCCAACCTTTGCATGGTGCCTCTCAACATCGTGTCACCACAGCGTAATGCTCCTCTCATGGGTATTATCCAAGACACGCTTTGTGGTATCTACAAGATCTGCCGTCGTGATGTCTTCTTGACAAAAGATCAAGTCATGAACGTCATGCTATGGGTTCCGGATTGGGATGGGGTGATTCCTCAGCCAGCTATCATCAAGCCAACGCCTCGCTGGACGGGGAAGCAGATGATCAGCATGGTGCTCCCACCTGCCCTAAACCTCGAGAGGCTTGACGCCAAGGGTGAAGACCCCTATGTACCAACTAATGACACTGGTCTTATGGTCCTTGAGGGCAACCTTATGTTCGGCCTGTTCAGCAAGAAATTTGTCGGCACTAGTGCTGGTGGCATTATTCACACCATCGTCAACGAGTTCGGTCACGACACGGCACGGGCTTTCTTCAATGGTGCACAGACTGTGGTCAACTACTGGCTTCTCCATAACGGGTTCAGTATCGGTATCGGAGACACAGTACCCGACCCTGACACTGTGCAAAAGATTCAAGATGCCGTTGATACCAAGAAGGCAGAGGTTGATGAGATCACCAAAAAGGCGTACAACGAGGAGCTCGAGCCTTCTCCGGGTATGAACGTTCGTCAAACATTCGAGAGCAAAGTGATGAACTCTCTCAATCAGGCTCGTGATCAAGCCGGTGCTGCAACCGAAAACAGCTTGAAAGATCTGAACAACGCTATCACCATGGCTCGTGCTGGTTCAAAAGGCTCTACCATCAACATTGCTCAGATGACTGCTATCGTTGGCCAGCAGGCTGTGGAAGGAAAACGTATTCCCTTCGGCTTCAAGTATCGCACCCTGCCTCACTTTGCAAAAGACGATTACTCTGCTCCTTCAAGAGGCTTCGTGGAGAACTCGTACCTTCGCGGATTGACTCCCACAGAGTTCTTCTTCCACGCCATGGCTGGTCGTGAGGGTCTTATCGATACTGCTGTCAAGACCGCCGAAACGGGTTATATCCAACGTCGTCTCGTCAAAGCTCTCGAGGAGGTTACTGTCAAGTATGACTCTACTGTCCGGGATTCGCGTGGAAACGTGGTTCAGTTCATTTATGGTGAGGATGGCTTGGATGGTGCCCATATCGAGAACCAAAAGGTCGATATCATCACCATGTCAGACAAAGCCTTCAACGACCGCTACATGGTAGACATCATGAGCGGAGACATTTCCATGTGGAAAGGCAGACTGCTCCAAGCAAGAGAGCTACAAGGTGATACCGAACTCCAAGAGATGTTTGATGAAGAGTACGAAGCTCTGCGGACGTCTCAAGACTTCTTGCGAAAGATGGGTAAAGGCACTGAAGACTCGATGCAGTTGCCTCTCAACATTGGGCGTATCATTGACCAAGCTCAGAAGAACTTTAAGATCCGTCGTGGCGACAAGACCGACCTTGATCCCCGCCATGCGCTTACTGCCGTGAAGCAGTTGCTGGAACGACTTGTCATCGTCCGTGGGGAAGACCCCATCTCAAAAGAAGCCCAAGACAATGCGACGCTCTTGCTGAAGGCTCAACTTCGCTCGCGGCTGGCGTACAAGCGGCTTGTTCTTGAGCATGGTGTTAACAGATTGGCCTTTGACAATATTATCGGCGCGGTTGAGAGTCGATTCATCGCTGCACATGCAAATCCAGGCGAGATGGTTGGTGTTCTCGCTGCCCAATCCATTGGTGAACCTGCGACGCAGATGACCCTGAACACTTTCCACTTTACTGGTGTGTCAGCGAAGAACGTCACTCTGGGTGTACCTCGTCTCAAGGAGATCTTGAACGTTTCGCAGAACATACGAACTCCGTCAATGACTGTGTACCAGCTTCCAGAAAATGCTGGCGACAAAGAAGCAGCCAAGCTTCTGCGGAGTCGTGTACAGCATACCAACCTGCGATCCGTGGCAGAGACCTGCGAACTGTGGTACGACCCCGACATTCAGAGCACCATCATCCCCGAAGATCTCGACATGGTCGAATCGTACTTTATCATTCCCGAAGATACAGATCAAGATCTTGCGCTACACTCCAAGTGGTTGCTCCGCATTACGCTCAGTCGTGCAAGACTGTTGGACAAGGGGCTCAACATTACAGATGTCGCATCAAGAATCAAGGCAACCTACGGCAAGGATCTCTCGGTCATCTTCAGCGATATCAATGCCGACGAACAAATCATTCGTGTCCGCCTCGTCCAGAACTATGGCAAGGATGAGGATGACGAGCGCAAAGAGGACGATGAAGTCCTTCGACGCTTTTTGAACGAAATGCTTGACCACCTGACCTTCCACGGTGTTCCCGGCGTCTCAAGAGCCTTCATTGATCAAAAGAGTCGTGCCATTATCAACGAAGACGGCTCGGTGTACATGGCAAAGAGCGATCCTCGATGCAATGAGTACGTGCTCGAAACCACTGGCAGCTCTTTCGCAAAGGTTCTTGCCATTGAAGGAGTGGACACATCTCGCACGTATACCAATCGTTTCACGGAAATCTTCGAGGTTCTCGGAATCGAGGCTACTCGTGCTGCAATCCTGCGCGAGTTGACCCAAGTGTTGTCGTTCGATGGTTCTTATGTCAACGCTCGCCATCTGGGTATCTTGTGCGACGTGATGACTGCCCGCGGATATGTCATGGCTGTTACTCGTCATGGCATCAACAAGTCGGATACTGGCGCTCTGATGAGATGTTCTTTCGAACAGACCGTCGAGATTTTGCTCGAGGCGGCAGCAGCTGGCGAACTCGACGACTGCAAAGGTGTCTCTGAGAATCTAATCCTGGGCCAACCTGCACCCGTAGGTACTGGAACAATGGAGATCCTTCTGGATCAGAACATGCTGTCTACCGTTGTCACAGACAATGCCAACCTTGGGCTTGGTGGTGCCATTGGTGTTAAAGGCTCGCAGCAACTCCTCGATGGGGCTGCTACCCCCTATGACTCTGGCTCGCCCATGCAAGACAGTGGCTACCTGGGGTCTCCAGACTACGGGGCGTCTTTCTCTCCCATCATCGCTGCTGGCTCGGAAACTCCAGGAGGATTTACCGACTACCAACCTGGATTTGGTGGAGCTGGAGGATTCAGTCCGTATGGTTCGCGCAGCCCTGGTGGTTACTCACCTGCCAGTCCGTTCGGCGGTACCAGCCCCAGCTCGCCTGGCTTTTCGCCCACTGCCGGCTATTCACCCACATCTCCCATGTTTGGCGCCACGAGCCCTGGCTTTGGACCAACATCACCATCGTTCTCGCCGGCCAGCCCTGCCTTTACGCCGACCTCGCCAGCATACTCGCCAACCTCACCTGGTTACCAGGCGTCGCCGACTTCGCCGAGCTATTCGCCGACGTCGCCCAACTATTCACCTACGTCTCCAGCATACGGGTCACCAACCTCTCCAAGCTACTCACCGACTTCTCCGGCTTTCAGTCCCACCTCGCCGACGTCGCCAACGTCGCCTGTCTACAGCCCCACTTCACCAATGTACAGCCCAACAAGTCCCATGTATGGTGGGGGTGCCAACAAACAGTCTCCGACATCACCCAGCTACTCTCCGACGTCGCCTACCTACAGCCCGACCAGCCCGACGTCTCCGACTAGTCCATCTTATTCTCCCACGAGTCCGATGTACAATGCTTCCCCAAGAAGCCCACCGGCTCGGTCAGCATCGGCGACCAGTCCACAATACTCTCCGAACAGCCCACAATATTCTCCCACTTCTCCAAAGGAGGACTGAGTCCTCTTTGTACCATCATATGATTCGGATGTTATCCCAAGACGGAAAATCCAGAGGCCGGGCGAGTGACGGATCCATTCAGTTGACCTTCTGTCTTCGACTGCCACTCTGAAATGGAGGATGATATCTTTTTAATGCAACTTTCTTACGGCCACTAAATTGTCACCTGCGGGAAAGAGGAGGCTCTGTGTCAGAGTGCTCTCCGCAACATTTTCACCGGCCACAATGTGTTTCAGAAAGACACAATACACGTGAATATTAGCGACGGCGTTGGATGGTTATTCACTTGTTTCTTTATCGGATCGATTTGCTCTTTTACATGAAATGGGATGGTTAGGACATGTTTTCGACGGACGAGGGACAGAAAGTTCGTGTCCTTGCGAAAACAAATGTGCTTGGGGGTGAGGGTGGCATGGGCATAGGGAGGAGAACATGACCTGAGGTGGGGGCAGCATTTCTGCGGAATGATTGAAGGGGATTGAGGAACAGCTCTGCGGATGCTTCGAGTCCTGGTGGGAGAGGGATGTGATTGATGGTCGAGAGGCGACGAAAGCACTGTCGGGTGGATTGAGAAAAAAAGTTTGCAATTGTACTCTAAGATAAACATAGAATGTTGTTCGCAGGGTGGAGGCCTGGCTATGGACTGCCGACTGGGCAGCAGGGGAGAGTGCTTCGCACAGAGAGATAGGCATACAGCTGAAACAGTGCGCACATTTGCAAATGGCGCGTTCCATCGTGTCGAGATTGAGATTGAGATTCGGGTTGAAAATGCTTGTGACAAGGCTGAGACTGAATTGAGCCGAGAGATGTGTCCTCGCCTCGTCGCTAAGTGACTGGTGGCAATGCCAGACGAGCATGTAGAAACCCTGAATCCTGGATCCATGTCGATACTGATACTCATCCCCGTACTTGTCCAAACCCGCATCACGAGGCTGGCTGACCTGACGAGGCTGAGAACCAACCTCCTGGGGTCTCTCATGAAATATAAAATAGCCGCTCAAGAGTATAAGAGAGCCCTGAACTTTGAATACCATAACCACACATGGCGTATTCTCCCGCGCGGGATTTGAGCCCATGCTCCTCGAATCTCTCAGCCTCATTCCCCGTCCCCCTTCCTCGCCCCTCCGCCCCCGAAATAGACTGGCTTGACTGGCAAGACTGGGTAACTACATAATAACTGGTTACATAACCCAGGACACCAGGGCGTTAGAGCGAGCGCCAGGCGAAAGAGTTGGATATCTAGTGCTGACGCGTGGCTGTTCCTCTTTGTCTTCGTCTTGCTCCTCCTCCTCCTCCTCATCCTTCCTCCCACCTCGTCTCATCCCATCTCATTTCATTTCAGTGATAAATACCCCCATTTTCCATATTGAGAAGAAAAAAATCACCACACTCACTCACATCTTCTCCAGAGGTTGAAAGGGGTTTTTTCCGTTTCCTTCTCTTCCCAAGGAAGGAACCAAGTATCACAGTCTCACACAATCGTCTCAGAAATACGGTACGGATATGCCACCCACTGCTGACTGCTCTCTCGTTACTGTTGAACGCTCACTCTGTGTTACATCCACCACTCCTATGGACCTCCTACCCCCTACCTCCTACCTCCCACACTCCTCCAATACCCAGCCGAGTACCGAGTACGAGAGTACATACTCCCGTATTCCCTGCGGATATAGATATGGACATGGACATGGGAGGGGGTCAGGCGCCAAATCATCAATGCTTAGCAATTGCTTCGACGCATCTCAGCTTTTGGCCCCCATTTGTCTATCTCACTGCCTGCCACCAAAGCACATCCCACATAGAGGACGTCCCATACAAAAACACAGAGTAAACCGAGTATAGACCTGATCTGGCTCCCTGGTAATATGGAATATCATTACTTTGGTTGTACGAGTAGTTGTGGAACGGTAATATTCCTTCCCTCTACCTCCCTCTCGCAGATCATCCTCGTCCTCGTCCTCGTCCTCGAAGGAGTTCCAACTCCTCCCCTGGTAATCTCGTAATTTACCCGATCCCACGCCCGCCCCCCCCCTCTCATTCCTTTACCGATCCTCCCCGTCACGAAATCGGTACTCTGCACTCTGTACTCCGTATGTAGCGTTGATTCCCCCGTAACGTTCCCCGTCAGATCGGCTGCGGCTTCGACTTCGGCTTGCTTGTGGAGTACTTTTTCTTATTCCTGGCGGTTGGTTGGCGGCTGACAGCTCCAACACTTGCCTGCCTCACCTACTTACCTACCTACTATTATTATTATTCGTAGCGCGCTTCCCTCCTCCTCCTCCCCTTAAATCTTTTCTCGAAAGGATTCAAAAAAAGGGGAGATTCAAATACGCGTGGTGGGTAACTGTATGTATGTATGTACTTGGAGTCGGTCAGACTTGGGTCGATTTCGTTTGATATTTGTGAGGAAGCACTCTACAAGACTTGCGACTTGCGGAGAAACCATTCACTTCAAAAGAAACTTGACCTGACTTGGACGAAACGTCGGATCGATACGTCTGCTTGTACCGAGTACATAGCTCTGCTGTTGATCACGCACTTTCCTCTCTTCTCTCCTCTCCACCGCTTTGCTTGATAGCAACGAACAACCCCCCAAAGCCACATTCGCCACGACAGCATCATATCATGGAACCCCTCCGCCACCTGGTCCTACCAAGTCAAAACACGGCAGCGGCACCGCCATACGCATTCACCGAGCCAACGCACGAGCAGACCCGCAGAGCCCAAGGCGAGGCAAGAGCCGTCCCCAATTCTTTTCGCGTGCTGGTCAGAATCGTTGCCCTGGCGGCGGCAGCGTCCATCATCGGCGTCCTCGCTCATGCCACCGTCGTGTGGATCAACACTCGGAGTGTGATTCTGCAGCAGCCAGATGGCTCTTTCCAGCGGGGGTGGCCAGACCATATCGACCTATGGCCGACCTGGGTGATGCTCGCCGCCGCCGTCATCGCCGTCGTTGTCCAACTCCTTTCCATGCTCACATTCTGTGGAGGGGTGAGCTTCCCCAACAACTTTCGCTCTCCATTGCTGACCACAACCACTGCTTTAGATCCGTCGCCTGCGCGAAACCCGCCTGCACGCCGGAGCCGTCTTCTTCACGTCCCTGATTGGAATCGCCGCATGGGTGGCTGCGGCTGTCTACTTCAAATTGCAGGACAACAAGGGCAAAAAGGGCTGGGGCTTGTGGTCGTGGTCGTGCACACACCAATACCTCAACAATGGGAAGATGTCGTTTGAGTTCATGTGCACTGAAATGGTAACACCTCAAAGCCCCTGGTTTCAACTAGAAGAATGCTGATGTACTTGGTGTCCTTCAGAAATACACGTTCATCGCGTCGATTGTGGTCGCCGCTCTGGAACTTATAAGCTTGGTCATCTTTGGCGTTACCCTGATCCGCCTCCGCAAAAGAGAATCAGGTTATAGCAAGCTCTATATGGCGCAGACTTGATCCTGCTAGGGGGAAGAGGCGATTGTCTCGCGTGCGATCCTTCAACCGTATGAGGATAAGCGGGTACCTGTTGCATTTCGAAGGTCCAGGCGCACAGATGCGCCAGAAAGCGTTGGATTAAAAGCGACGGCGGTGAATTCGTTGAATGAAGTCGGTGAGCGATGATGAGATGGCTCTAGCAAGTGTCGGACGAGCACACGGCTTCATGAATATACAAAGCATCAGAAATGTCCCAATACCGGCGCAAAATATCGAAAGTTTTCAGATCTGGAGCGGAGTTCCCCAGCCTTGCGGAGATGTTCCAGTCATAGTGCCGGCCACTGGAGGCGTGGGAAGTCATTGAAGGATCAGGCCATGAGTGCCCAAAAGAAGATGGAGTTACTTGTTGCGTCGTTTTTCCATGGCATCGGTGCGGCAGCTGACCTCCGGAACAAGGGGGAATTCCAAGGCTGCGGCGTTGACATTGGATGTTGTCTGTCATGACCCAGGCGCGGAAAATGTCGTAGGGAGCCAAATAATATCATAGTGGTCGCATGGACCACCTATTTGTGCTCTGAAAGAGTGACCACCGACGTGCTGACACTCACGTTGCCCCACGGAGAGCCATGAGGCCGAGAATCTGGACCTCAAGATTTTTCGTCACATCAACGGACCCGCTGTCCTTCGCACCAGATCCGCTGCTAATAGAGTTGCCAGGACGGCGGCCACCCGGGACTGTAGAGTTGAGTTTGTAAACCTTTCGGATTGTGTCAATGTCGGCGACCTTGCGAAAACCTGCGTCATCAAACGGACTCGGTTTGCCCTGGATGTGCGTTGTTAGATGTTGAGTGACGCTTTCCAGGGTGACTTCCGGCGTCGTGGCCACCTTCAACACCAGTAAATCTTTAGTTGACTCGCCGACTCCGAACCTGCGGAAAGCCTCGCCGATCTCCATTGTGCGTCAGTGTCCCGACGGACCTTGAGCGTCTGAACTCTGCACTTACATTGTTGTTCGGGCTCAGAGAGAAGACAATCTCCGAGTGAACGTTGCGTGACTTCAACCTCTCGTTGAGATAGTCGTTCATGGCCCGGAAAGCGGCAGCAAGCACATGGGTGGTAGAGACGACCTGTGACACATAAAGCCAAGGGTCATCAGTCGGGAGAAGGCTCATAAGAGGGGCAAAAATCTGCACGCTCGAGAGAGTATTACCATTTTCGCGTCAATAAAGGCGTACTCGAACTCGGAGTTGCCTGCCAGCAACTGTTCCTTGAGGAACGGGGCATTCTGCACGTCCGTGTACATGACGACATAGAGCGGCAGGTCCGGCGGCATATGAGCCAGCTTGATCAGTTCGACCATGTTGGGGTAAAACGAATGAATTGCCTTGAATAATGTGGTTCAGATAACGAGCAGATGAGCAAAACTTCCTTTGACGTTGGAACCGATATATTTTCTCTTGGCGCTGACATAAGGGTTCTCAGCCTTGCCACACTCAGCTCGTGCCTCCTCGCCGCAGCCTCGCCTTCTAACCTCTACAGCCACATCGGAACATAATACCCGAACACAAGGGGACAAAAGAAACTTCACGCGTCATGGCTGGAGTAAAAACTGCGTTGGTGGGATGAAGAGGGTCTTGAGAAAAGGTTGTATTAGTGGCTGGCTTCATGCATGTCTCACTCCTTTGTGTTACAGTAGAGCTGTCGGATCGGTGATTTGGGCATCAAGCCGTCTTCATCGAGGCAGGGCGAACTCAAGGGCTAATGGAACAAGGCAGATTATTACCAGTTCACGTTACACCAGTGCTGACTGAAGCTCAGGTAATGGCGCGATATTTGACCTCAAATATCTGGATGTCATTAAATGAGACTTTGGTCTATACCACTCACCTGGAAAGGAATTGATACATGGCACCACGAATCTACATTGTGGTCTACAAAGGCGACCCGGTTGATCTACAAAAAACAAGACACACCGCGTTGTTCATTTACGACGATGACGACAACGACGACGACGACCGGGGGAACGGCGATATACTCCATGTCGCAGGCGCTGCAGGTCTCTTTGTCTTTGAACGACGGCATGATGAAAATCCAGAAAAAAGCAGAACTTTTGTCCGACAATTCCCTGTCGAGCCGATCATCAACAGTCCAACCAAACAACAGTTGATCACGGAAATCACTGCCACGCCCGTCAACAATAGCACGCATTCTTGGAATTGCCAAATCTGGATTGGGGATGCTCTTGGAAGATTAGTTGGGGCACATTGGATCAGTACTCAAACGGCATCCAATGCGATTAGCTCGATGGCTGCGGTCATCGTTGAAGCGAAAGATGAGGAGCCGTGATGGTCGTTCCTGAAATTATAGTCCACCGCATTGCTCATAACAGCTGGCCCTAGTGGCGAGTCACTAAAGAAATGGTTTGCATCTTCGTATGGTCAGAGCAGAGCTCGCCTCTGACAATTCTCATAACTAATGCCTTGTCAAATGCCCCAGAAAGTGATCGACCATAAGCTCGGCAGAATATACCTTATCGAATATCACATCGGCATAGTCACGGTAGTCGGCGTATAAAGCTCGGAAGAACTGAACAAATTCCCAGTATTCCGGATACCAGCCGGCAAACTCCCAGTCAATTATGCCAACAATCTGACCCTCTTTCACGACGATATTCGTCGGGCTCAGGTCTCCGTGGGTGAGCAAGATCTTGTGTTTTGTGGTTGAGAGAAGATCTTCCAGCATTTTACGGTAAATCGGTGGGGTCGTAGATATAGTGTTGCTTAGCAGGAACTCATTGAATGCCGCCTCGGTCTCGAAAGGACCACCACGATTCCGATTCCGACGAGGATCAACCGCAGGGCGTTGGTCCAATGAGCCAATATAACTTCCCTCGACCGAACGTAGTCGAAACACAATTTCACGTAGTTGTTGTGCAATACTGAGCTTTTCGTCCTTCGAGAGTTGACTCCATATATCTTCCAAGATGTCGCCTTCGATCAACTCCATCTCAATGAAACCCACTTTCTCACACATCCCGTATGCATAGACCTCAGGAACACGTATGCCTAAGCCGGACCTTTGAATAAAGCATAGTGTTTGCGCTTCTTGGGCATCCACGGATGCGCCGTACTTTATGACGTTGTTTTCAAAACGAAAAACTCTCCGGCCGAAGGAGTCGAGGAAGACTTTCGAGGGATCTTTCCGTGCTTCTTTGAAAGCGTCGTCTAGACTTTCCCGAGTCCAGCGTCCGTTGAATTCTGTCTCATCAGTTCCTGCGTCTGAGTCTGAGATGGAATTCGAGGGAGAGAAGGGAGCGGGTTGGATCATGTGATCATGCAAGTGTGAGTCTGGTAGCCCCATGGCAAGAGCAATAATCGGTGTGAAATTGCGCGAGAATGAGGACAATGTGTACTTTGTAATATGGTAAACGTCCGTGTCGAGTGTCGAGGGAATCAAAACCAGAGGACGCAAGCTGGGTCGGTTTCACCGCAGGTTCATTGACATATACGGTGATGCACAGGCATCATTGGCGCGAGAAGGGCAGATAATGTTTTGGGCTTCGATGGAGGATTGAAGCAGAAGCCGCGAGACACTTTCAGCCACTGATTCTCTTCGCTTCATCGAATGAAAGTCTCACTGCTCCATTCAATGTCGTTGAATGGCGCGACGGTTGTGAAAGAGGTTTTTCCAAAATTAGGCTCTGTCACGGGACCACGCGTTGGGACCATCAAATGGCCAGAAACTAAAGGTGGCTCGAGAGTGAAAGTGGACGCGTTGCGAGGCTGATGGATGGTCACGATATAAGAGGTATTGTAAAAGTGTGATGTAAAGTAGGAGTGGGTAGCCACTGCCGTGGCCTAAACAACGTCATTTAAGTGCTCCTACTGTACCAGGAGTCCACCTCCGAACCTAGTCCTTCGCTTGGAACAGATGCGTGAAGGCAGGCACAGGCATCCGGCCTTGGCAGTTGAAAATAGTCGAATAGTTCCATAGCTTCTCCCTCTTACGAATCAACATATTCAGATCCGCTTCGGCTTGCGAAGATTTGGTGAGGTTGTTCTAGCGCGTGTTCCATTGTACCATTGCGCTGGTCAAGCTGGACATCGGAAGAACCTTCCACTTGATCTGTACGTGCGAAAGGACCCTCTAGTTGAACGCCAGCTCGGCATTCGTGTCCCTACTTTCCATATGAAGGCCCATGTGGACCTAAGCTCATAATTTCTTGCTATCGATACAGGGGAAGCACCCTGAGGCCCTCTTATTCTTGCTGTCGTTGGATCAGCGTTGACTTCGAGAACCCTCATATCTCGTCGATCCATAAGGCTGGAGCATTCCTGTTGGTCTGATGGTTGAGACCATCAGAGATGCCGTGTTCCTGCGGCTCATATGACCGTGGTCGATAGGCCTGGGAAGCCCCTGCTGATGGTGTTGTGATTCTTGATCTTTGTCTCCTGTGGCTCAGGCTCGAGTCCGAGCTACCATCCGCGTTGCTACCTCCCTGTTACGCATGACCTTCTCTCTATACTCCATCCAGTGTTTTGCAGAGCGTTGGGAGCCGTGTGTCTACGTCGTGGTCCAGGATATTCTTGATTCCCCGTACAAGCGCTCGTATGTCCTTGTCGTCATTGAAAAGGTGCTTCGACAATCCCTCGACGTCGAAACTGTATTGTCCTCCCCGAACGGGAGCTTTCAGCCAGTGAACATTCAAGCACGCAAGTTGATGGTCCATGGTGATAGAGAAAAACTGCGGTTCGTCAAAATCGAACTTTTCCATTCCAAAGCTGCGCTGCACCAATTCCATATGGCCATTCAAGACGATGGCCCCCGGGGCTGGCAGCCTGGTTTGTCGCAATATAGTGTGTGCCATTTTGTGCCTGTGAAGAAATTCGACGTCTAAAATCGGGAATCGAAGTTTCTGGTCCGGCGCAGCGTAACTATGTCTGACTTAATCGTCTGTAAGAAGGTCGAAGACCCCTAGTTGGTTATCGGTGAAAGCCGACTTGGAATGTCCAAAGGCGAGGTCAGGCTTTGGTTTTGGTAAGGGAAGCGGGTTCGTCATGATTGGCGGCTTAAGTAGAATAGAGACAGAATTAAACCAGAAATGCCTACCGTCAAGTGAATGACACCTGGTATTAATTTGCGATATATCGAGTATTGTTCTCGTCCTATGGTCAATTGCGGAGAGAAGGTTATTCGTCTCGGCTGACGAGGAGTATATTCTAGCCCGCGCAGACCCTCAACGACCGCGATTGGCGCTATCAAAGCCCAAAATTAGCATTATCCTGTACTCTATATGCCCGTCTCTTTTCAACCAAATGTCTTGAATATATACAGAAATGCTCCCGACCAGATTCTTCGGGGCAAGATGCTTTTCTGGATAGCAGAAGCCATATGAACCCCACCACAGCTTAGATCGTTGACACGTTCCATGTGGCATAATGGCCTTTTCACCCTCTCTCCGTGTCAACGGTATATTTGTCCCGACCAGAACCTCTCAACAAGATGAAATTGCCGACATACCACGCTCAAAGGGAATGCGTTAGACCTCATCAACATCGTCATTCATACTTGATCGGATGTAGGACCATCATAGGCAAACACATGCGCCCGCCCCCTGAGCCCCCTCCCGACTCCCAACCCAATTCGTTATGGGCGTTTTCTCTACCAAGCCATCTTCTCCAGAGATAGCCGGCAAATGCTGCATTGGAATAATACGTCGCACCCCGGAAGACATGCTCACCAGGGCCGAAGACGCTGCCCCCTTCACCGTGGAAATGTCCGTGTCCGTGGTCCATGCCTGCCTTTTCGTGTTCCAAGCTGACAGGGGCATTATTGAAGACTTCATCAGCATGCTTGCTGGGCCAGTCTCTGTCAAAGTACACCGGAAGAGGGGCGTAGATCGCCTTCAGACCATAGTGCAGAGCAATCGAGGCAGGATACATTTCTGGAAACATAGTATGTTTGTTGCGGTAGGTCTCCTCGTGCATGAGCAGAAGTAGGCGACGTGACATTCGAGACGCTGTAATAAGAGCGGCTCTAGTCGGGGGCCGTCCGTCTCGGGTCACGTCGTAACCAGTTATATCGTCGCGGAAAGCCCAGCGGGTGTGTTCGGGGTTGAACAGGGGGTTCAACGTGATTAGATCTGTAATTTCGTCTGTTCCATCTCGCGTGGTCTGTTCTGGGATGTCAAGCAGTCGTTCCTGCGGAATTTGCGGACCAGAAATTGGTGTTTCATTGCGAGCCCGGACCTCGTCAATGACAGACTGGGCGTAGTTTCCATAGGAATAGTCGTGCAATGACGGAATATAGAAATTCGATGACCTCTCCCAAGCATGCTCTCGCGGTTGATCTTCTGCCCAGGACTCGATCTGGCTCAACAGTTCGTAATAGTGGCCGGTAACCCTCATGTCCATTTCCCACTGCCAAAAATAATCATACTGGGGATTTTGAGCTGCAAAGTATTGGAGCGGAAAATGTAGCGACCGATATGCTTCGTAGATTTCACCGCCCGAGAAATTTACGATGCTGTCAGGAAATGGTGGAGGGTAGATCAACTTCATTTGGGCCACCGACCAGAGTGTGCCCATCCCACGGAATTCTTCTGGCAAGCTGTCTCTCAACACCTGATCGTATAACTCTTTTGACGCCCAGATGGGAAGAGTGTCATCCTGCACGTGAATGAGGAAATGCACCGTGTACTGACCCCCGGACACGATCGCAAGTTCGCTGATTATCGCACGTAGCATGGCAATGTGATGTTTTGTGTAGTGAAAGCTGTCCCATGTGCGAAACACAAAGGCACTCCGAGATCGAAGCCGAGGGGAGTTCTTCGACACACAACTCTGCTGTGCGTCGTGCCATTTGACACGCTTCCAGTCAATGGCAATCACTTGCTCTAGTCCTTCGTTATCGCCTTCTGCATGGTTGCCGAGTCCTCCTTGTTCTTCCGATATTCCCAAGCCGTATGGCGCCAGTCGATTTACTCGATCGTAGCAGACTTGATCGTTGATACCAAGCACATCTTGGGATCCCAAAAGTGGTGCGCTCATACCCTGCGGTAACCCTTGATATGCAGATATTGTAGGTGGCAGGACTCGCCTCTCTTCGTCTAGATAGCATTGTTCGATGTCTGGGGGAGGGGCCGGCGACAGCGGAATAAGTTCAGGGTCATCATGCTCGCCTGGCTCGAAGGGGTCGAAAGCATTGGACTGTTGTTCTGGGACATAGTCGGGGAATGAGACAATATTCTTTCGGCCCCGATAGTAGCCGTCGAGTCTGCGAACCAGGTTATTACTGTCATCTCAACTGGTATGTGGAATGGGCTGTTCTCACCTGGGGAATTGCTCCCACCAGAAGACTTCTCTCCCACCGCGATCTACGGACTGGCCAATTGGGATAGGACCATCCTCTGGCACTCCATCATCGACATCAGGTTTCGAAAATTCAAGGTGACCACCAGTGGGCGTGGGGTTGAGGAACCACCAAAGCGCAATGACGGTCAAGATTGCGATTGCTGCGGCATAGCATATTGTTTTGCTGGGCAGGAATCTCAAGCGCTTCCACTGCCGTCGTCGACCTCGTCGTGGTCTCGGTGACTGGGAGGGACTGAGCAGACTGCTTCCAGAGGAATCGGTGCTCCAGTCACGTTTGTGGGTTGATATGGCAATCGCATCGTTGAATTTGGTGGACAGCGATTTGGGTAGCAGGTCAAGCATGCCCATCAGACGCCCAACGTCCGTGAGACGTGGGCGTCAGTCTCGCCTATGGCTGACTCCGGGTCGTGGCGGCGGGGAGGCAAGCACTAGCAGCTATTGGCCAGCAGCAGGTAACGGGCTCCAGGCATTACTCGAGGGTCACACACTCGGGGCGCACTCTGCACAACATCTCAGAGGTACCGACAGTACCAAGCGATGTCAAAAACAGTTTGGGAGGAGGACAAGATGTAGAAAACACAATAGCCGTTCCGGCGCATCGTCCACAATCTACTACTCTACTTAGCGGACGGCAGCTGGAGAGGCGACCTCCAGAACAGGCTTTAAGTGACGAGAACAAGCGACTCCAAGACCTGCTAAAGGGGCCACATGCGGCAGATATAAGGGGATCGTGGGGGACTTTTGAGGCTTACGGCGCCTAGATGCCGGGAAAACCACCTGGGCTGAGACCGAAAGAGCCTCCGGGGCCTTGGGACTGGGCATGCTGGAGGTTGTCCGGGCTTGGTACCGTCACTAGTGCCTTGGCATCTCCGAGCCTGGAAGAACCCGTGCCACTGTTCCGAGTAGGCCTGAATCATAGGGCACATAGTTGTAGATTACCATGTCGATGATGTCGCCCCCTCAATTTCCCTTGTCTGGCCAGCTGGCTCTGGGAGATTCACCCAAGATTCGTCGCTCAACTGAGGTTTGTCAAAATCACGTCATAAGTTGTTACAATCCAATCCGAATAGGAGAGAATATTACCCAGACAGGCAGAATTTGATGCTCCATCTTGAGCGATCTCGACTCACTGTTTGAGAATCCTCTCTATCGCCCCTTACGCTACTAATACATGTACCAAGATGCCGACTGCAATCGTGACAGGGGCAAACTCCGGCATCGCCCATGCATTTGCCAATATACTCTGTGATGAGGTTAGCTCGGTCACCGTATCATAACCAATCGAGATAACGCTGCAGCTAGGGCTACACGGTCTACGCCGTTGATCGAGATAGCGGGAACGGTCTCCAGGCACTGAAAGCCAAGAAGGCTCACGTTGCTGAAGTGGATGTGACTTCTCCCGAGTCGATCCAAAAGTTCAAAGACACTCTCGGTGACACAGCAGTTGACCTGTTGCTCAATATTGCAGGTGTGGCAACCCCTCTCGGTATCATGTTTATGTGAGAGGGATCAGAGCGCAAGTAACCGATGGGTTTGAACAGGTGTTGCCGCCTCCAGTGAAGATGACAGTCTCACCACGAGCAACCTGCAAGTCTTTCAACGGACGTTTGCAGTCAACACATTTGGGGTTTTCCTCCTGACGCAGGCCCTCTTGCCCAACGTTCTAAAAGCCTCCAAGCCCAAGATCGGTATCGTCTCGAGTCGCGTTGGATCAGTGGGCGACAACAGCTCTGGCGGACACTACGCCTATCGCTCTTCCAAAGCTGCCGTCAACTCCATTGGCAAAAGCATGGCGATGGATTTGAAAGACAAGGGCGTCACGGTCATGTTGCTGCATCCTGGCTATGTTAGGACGAACCTGCTGCCGGGTGCAAAGATGCCCCCAGAGACAGTTGAGCCCGACGAGGCGGCAAGGAAACTGTGGGAGAATATCGTCAGTCAGAAGACAATCGACGACACGGGCAAGTTCTGGCATCGCGAGGGATTCGAGTTGCCATGGTGAGGAGGATGCGTAGGAGAGAGATACCAACTTAAAAAGTGTGATCATTATATATCACTCACAATGGAAGGGTTGGTTAATTGGATATTGACAAAGACGCATGCCCTATCAGTGGCAGCACATTATCCCCCTGGCCAGCTCTGCGGCCGAATATACCGTCGTCTAATCTTCCTATATGAGAGACACCACCAACTCTCAATTGTCAGCGGTTGGAGACCCATTTTTGGCATGTTGCCTCGGTTAAGTCGGTGTCTGACCGGATGGCGCACTATCAATTCGCAATTCCCCAACATCTTCACGATTGTCTTAGAAATCAACGGCAAGGCGTTTCATCGCCTCTATCGCCGGTCCATTCTTCTCTCAATGTCTGGCGCAATTATAAAAGTTCAAGATTCCCATATAGATTTATTGTCAGATTCCCGCTTCTTGAGACTGGAGCGTTGACTTTGAAAGTTTGTTGCTTTTACTACCATCTCCTTATCTGTGGCCACCAAAAGAGCCAGATCACGACTCACCGGCGAACAGCCCGTCGTACAATAAGAGACACCCGACATCACGAACCTGCTGATCCATCACCAGCCATGGGCTCATCCGACTCTCCCATCCTCGTCAACAAAGGGGTACCAAATATCCCGTACTTCACCCCGGCCCATGCCTCAGATCCTGGGACGCCATTTACCCCATCTGCCGATACCCCAACGCTGTTCACGCCTCTCAAGATCCGCTCCAAGACCCTGCGCAACCGCATAATCGTGGCGCCCATGTGCCAATACTCGACTGCTTCTTCCGGTCCGGACATTGGGAAACTTACCGACTACCACATCGCAACACTGGGTCATTACGCTCTAAAGGGCGCGGCATTGGTGTTTATCGAGGCAACGGGCGTGCAGCACAATGGGCGCATCAGCCCGTATTGTCCTGGCCTATGGAATGACGCTCAGACCCAAGGTGTGAAGCGTGTTTCGGACTTTGTCAAGTCACAGGGTGCCCTTTCCGGGATCCAACTCGCCCACGCCGGACGCAAGGCGAGTACCCTGCCGCCGTGGATTTCGTCATCTCTCAAGAGACCGTCGGTGCGCGCGGACAAGAGTGCTGACGGATGGCCGGAAGATGTTGTTGGGCCGATGGGTGGGCCAGAGGAGAGCTGGGATGGCAAAGGGTTGGCGCAAGACGGCGGCTTCTGGCCTCCGAGGCAGCTGACCGTGGAGGAGATTAAAGACGTGGTTAAAGCGTTCGCAGACAGTGCGCGAAGGGCTGTGGAGGCCGGCATCGACGTGATTGAGATCCACGCCGCCCATGGCTATCTAATCCACCAATTCCTCAGCCCTATCACGAACAGACGCACAGACCAGTATGGCGGCAGCTTTGAGAATCGCACGCGTCTGTTGGTCGAGGTCATCAAAGCAGTGCGGGCACAGATCCCACAGGACATGCCTCTCTTCCTGCGCGTCAGCTCGACTGAGTGGCTGGAGGAGACAAATCTGGGCAAGCAGCTGGGGAGCTGGGACGTGGAGAGCACCATCAAGCTTGCGCGTTTGCTACCTGGACTGGGAGTGGATCTTCTCGATGTCAGTAGCGGCGGGAATCATCCTCAGCAGCGCATCAACATGTTTGCGTCCAAGGACTACCAGACCAAGATTGCCAACCAGATCCGGCAAACGTTGAAGGCGGACCATCTCAAGCTGTTGATTGGCGCAGTTGGCCTCATCACGGAAGCCGAACAAGCACGGGACATTGTTGAAGATAAAGCATCGGACAAGAGTATCGGGGAGGAAGCCAACGCCGCAAAAGAGATGACAGATGCCAAGGGTGGCAAGGAGCCCATGGCGGACGTGATCCTCGTGGCGAGGCAGTTTATGAGAGAGCCGGAATGGGTGTTGAAAGTGGGTTGGAAGTTGGGCGTCGATGTTGCCTGGCCCAGCCAATTCCTGAGGGTCAGGTTTCCGAAGCTGTAAATCGACATTGGCGAAACTCGTTGGGAATGTCGTTATAGATACAAAATGCTAGAAATACAGTTAGAGTCGCGGTAGTCACTGCATTGTACGGTAATACCAGCAAGGCTCCCTCCCATACTCTCAGACTGATCATGACCCTGATATTTCGTCTGACAGAAAACTACACTGCATCAGACAAGGGTCCACGTGACTCACACACTCAAGTTAGAGAGGAGATTGGGGGAAATCTTGTTGTCAGACATGGTGCTTTAAATCGCCTCCCCACTCTGCAAACTCCTTCAATATAATTCGCACAACCACATTGTTAGGTGCCACGAATATATCTCTGTACCACCGTTGCCGTGGCATCTTGGTCTCGGACCTCCGCAATGTCTTTGACAATGTCACACAACTTATGCCGGTTTCGCCGTCGGGTCCTTGCAGGTGGTGCTTCGTGCGTTCACAACACCGGCTAACGACAGATCATATCAGTTACAAGACCAGCCCAATTCAAATTCTCGACCAGAGCTGACGTAGCTACGACGCGCATCCCGGATGGAGGAGTCAATTGCGATGTTCATATTGTATTGAGCATGGCTTCTCCCAACTTCAACACTCTCAAGGTGAGGTCGTCAAATGGTCTCACTCTCACCGTCGTGTGTTCGGTCCAGTACTCTTCTCTCCATAGTAGGGATATCATCTTTGAAATGCTATCTCCACTGTCATCCTGGCTACAGGCTTGTATTTGCCTTTGGCCGCTTACTGTCCATTTAGCTGTTGCGGAGAAGCTTGTGGCGCAGGACGCCAGCATCACCCCAGATATCGTCCTTCGAGTTAGCCTCGCCACTATCCAGCTCAACTGTCAGCCTCGTCTCTCGACCGTCATCAACGGTACATATCCGGCACCCCCAATCTATCTCGAACCTGAGCGAACAACATGGATTCGGGTGTACAACGACGCAGATGTGAATACAACAATGGCAAGTTACAAAATTTCCACCGCGTTTCGCAAAGTTTTGCTTGCTAACCGATCAAAACTTTCAGCACTGGCATGGCCTTGCACTATCTGCGGCACCCTACGCTGACGGTGCTCCGCAAGCTGCACAGTGGCCGATCCCGCCTGGACGTTTTTATGATTACGAGCTCCATCCGAGTGCTAGCGAAGCCGGGACATCCTTCTACCACTCTCATGTAGGCTTCCAAGCCATCACGGCTACCGGAGCTTTGATAGTTAAGGATGCTGTGCCGCCGCCATACGCGTACGACGAGGAGATCATTATGAAGATTGGTGACTTTTACCCTGAAGAAGACCACACAATCGAATCACAGTTGACAGGAGTGCCTTGGATATGGACTGGGGATCCAACGTCGTTACTCATCAACGGACAGAGTGGGACAGCCCGTGGCTCTTCCGACCCAGGATCCTCGGACCAGTCATGCCAGCCTTGGGTCATGAATGTCGAGGCAGGCAAGACATATCGAGTACGCGTCATTGGCAGCACTGCGTTGTCTTTGGTGCTGTTTGGTCTTGAGCAGCACGACAATTTGACCATCATCGAAACAGACAACTCGTACGTCTACCCTGTACAGACTCCTTATATACAAGTCGACACGGGCCAAAGATTCAGTTTCTTGTTGCAAACAAAATCGCCAAGCGAGTTGCAATGCTTGGGTGGTCAGACAAAATTCTGGATTCAATTCGAGACTCGAGAAGGCCAAGGTACGGTTTTTGCTTGGGCTATTCTCAACTACACCGACGTGGGGCTGTCGACATCGCAAGCACTGGAGTCTAGCCAGGTCCAGAGCTGTCGGTATTTGACCTCACACTCATCATGTCCGGATCCCGTCCCTACGGCACCGATCCTGGAACTGCCAACCAATGTCACGGATTGGCTGGAGTATGCTTTTCAAAATCCCCCTTTGGCAGGCTACGAGGCTCCCCCTGATGCAACAGAAGTGACGCGGCGCATCATCGTCTCAACTTCACAGTTCCTCCAGAACTCTTCCGGCAACACAGTGATGATCTCGAACAATCGATACTGGAGTGACAGCGCTCCTCTGGGACCAACAACAGATACACCGTATCTCGTTGAGATTCTTCAGAATGCGAGCATAAATGGTGTGACTCCAGACTACGGCCGTGCCATTGCTAACGGGGGCTTTGATCTGCTGTCACAGACATATCCAGCCCGCATTGGCGAGGTGCTTGAAATTGTGTGGCAGAATGCTGCTTCATACCCGGCGGGGATCTACGGTCCGCATCCCATGCATGCTCACGGTGGGCCATACTGGGACATGGGCTCGGGCCCGGGAGAATACTCGCCTGAAGCGCATGCGGCGCTGCTGGAATCGCATTCTGCTGACAATGTCCCTTACCCTGGCTCGCGGCGTGACACGACCATGCTGTACAAGTACACGCTGCAGTCTCCTGAGCCCGGTCAGGTGAATGGCTGGCGAGTATGGCGCATACGTATCACCGAGAGGAACGTTGGGGTTTGGATGATGCACTGTCACATTCTGCAGCATATCGTGATGGGGCAGCAGACAGTATGGGTCTTTGGGACGCCAGAGGAGATCACCAAGCATTCGATGCCGATACAAGGTAATCTGGCCGGATACTTTCGATATGGCGGGGATGTGGTGGGCAAGGCTGGCGAGGAAGATGGGGCCAGACACGTTGTGCAGTTCTTTCGGGATGGATGATGGAAGGTCAGAGGCTGGAGGATCAGGCTCAGGATCAGGCTCGGGCTCTTCCAATTGGGCTTCTTTCCAGGGTGGTCTGAGGGTCTGTTGTTGCCCATCGATGTCTACTGGTACTGCTACCGCCATCCCCACAAAATCAACTTGTCCTTGTTTGCCCTATCATATCCAAAGGAGTACCTTGTAGCTTGCTTACCGTCCACCCACAATATCAACGCCCTGTTTCTACTCTTTGCCAGATCTATCCTTTCCAAGTGGAGGACACGCAGCGGACATGTAAAAGTGGCATCACCTTGTCATCTCATCAACAACTGCCGAAGTCTAGGCATCCATCGCCAAGGGAATAACTGCAACAATTCTTGTCGAAGAGAAGCTGCTCTTGGTGCCTCGTATCCCCCCTGCCCCCTTCTACCCGGGCCAAGAAATCCTTTAGCTCGTTCCTCTAATAACCGTCATGCCTTTTCCCCTTTCCGGATCCACGCTCCGAGCTCAAAGCGGACAGCCTTGTCGTGATGGCTCTACCACGAGATGATCCGGCCCAGCTCAACCGGCTCCTATCTGACACTAAGAGGGAGAGAGAGAGAGAGAGAGGACGAGGTCATCAGGTCCCACGTGGAGCATTCCAAATGGATCTATTCATCACCCAACTTACAAGTCACCTCCGCGACCGACTCTTCCAACAACCCCCTTCCCCCTTGGACTCGGGCCAAGAAATGATCCGCCTCTTCTGCTTTTTCCATTCGCCTTAAAAACCCAGACCTCCCCAGACTCCCAAGACTCACTTGTCACTTGGCTTCCACCCGCCACTTTGGCAGAGCAACCTATCACTCAGCGAGGAATGTTCCATTTGGGCCTTGGCCCAATATGCTGAATCCTTGACACGGTGGTAGCGAGCACAACGACGAACGTCATGACTCCCCTCCCACCCCCCCCCGTTCATCACACAGCCGATGTGCTTCCCTTCTCCCCACCGGATGCGACACCATTTTCATCTATGCCGCATGCCCTGGGCAGCGACATGGGGAAGTCCTCTCTTGATGGACGATCCGCAGTCTGTATTGGTATGTGGGGCGGTTGATTGAAAGTCTGGGGGAGAGATCTCGAACGGGCTTCGTTTAAAATAGTCAACTCTCACAAATCACCCCCGTCTTCAAAAAGTCGTGTGTGGTCTTTCATGCGCGCCTTCACCGCTGTCTCAGTAACACAGGCCGACACTCTACAACCCCCGTCTCGCTCCCAACATGGCTGGAATTGCTACAGGGACGTTGAAGGCTGAGGCGTTTGACCATTTTGAGCTGGATCCTACAAAGAGCGAGTCGTCGGCCGAGGACATCGACTGGACAGAGCAAGAAGAGACGGCCATCAGGAGGAAGATTGACCGGCGGATTGTGCCCCTGGTCACCCTGCTGTACCTGTTCTGCTTTCTCGACCGTGCCAACATCGGAAATGCTCGCATCCAGGGAATGGCCAAGGACCTCGACCTGGTGGGCTACCGCTTCAACTGGGCTCTCAGTGTCTTCTACATCATCTACCTCCTGGTCGAAGTCCCCAGCAACATCCTCCTCAAGCACATCGGCCCTCGATTCTACATCCCTGGCCTGGTCTTTGGGTTCGGCTTCGTGTCCCTCTGCACCGCCTTTGTCAAGAACTTCAACGAGCTGTGCGTCGCCCGCGCCTTTCTGGGTGTCTTCGAGGGCGGCACCATGCCTGGCATCTCCTTCTTCCTTAGCACCTTCTACAAGCGGCGCGAGTTGTACTTCCGCGTCGGCATCTTCATCTCGGCCGCTTCCCTCGCCGGGGCTTTTGGAGGCTTGTTCGCCACCGCACTGTCGTGAGTATATTTCCCTGGTGAACAGTAATGGCTTTTGCTAATGAAATCCAGTCGTATCCCTCGGTGGGGCACCGAGTCGACTCCTATTCACACGTGAGTGGTGTTGCCAGGAATGTGCACTCATTCAGTCGTCTGACATTTTGCGTTCTAGCTGGAGAAATATCTTCTTCTTCGAGGGCTTGGTGGGTTCCGGCCATGTTTCCGTTGTAAGGCTGGGCTGACGGGAATGTAGATTACCGTTATCATCTCGGCGGCTGCGCCAGCGTTGATGCCGTCTAACCCGCAGACTTGTCGTTTTCTCACCGAACGAGAACGGCATATTGCCCATGAACGGCTGATCCGAGAGCATCGCGCTGTGAGCTGTTTAGGTTGTCTATTTTCAGAGCCACAAGGCTAATGGATGCAGGATCCGATGGAGCGGGTTCAATGGCACCACATTCGAGCCGCCATCTTCAACATCAACAACAATCTGTGCGCGGCCGGCTTCTTCTTGATCAACATTACCGTCCAAGGTCTCTCCATTTTCATGCCCACTATCCTCGCGGATCTCGGCTGGACCGCAACAAAGGCACAACTGTACTCGGTTCCCCCGTACGTGGCCGCGTGTCTCGTGGCGATTTTGATTGCATACATCAGCGACAAGACTCGCAGGCGTGGCATCTACCTCGCAGTGGCCACGTTTCTCCCCATCGCCGGGTTTTCTATCCTTCGATGGAGCACAAATGCCTCGATCCGTTACATGGCCGTGTATTTCATCACCACGGGAGCATTCCCAGGTGGACCGGGATTTCTGTCGTGGGGAATAAACAGTATGCAGAGTTGCTTGGGTGCTCGACGGATCACTGCTAACACTTGACAGATTCTGCCGGCCCAGCAGTGCGTGCTGTTGCCACAGCGTGGATCGTGTCGATTGGCACTCTGGGAGGTGTCCTTGCCACGTAAGGGACCACGTGCTCCAGCATTTCTGACAAGTCAAACAAGCTGACCTCGTACAGATGGACCTACCTTGTCCGCGATGGACCCCGGTACCCGATTGGACACACCATCAATCTGTCCGCACAGATCATTGTCTTCTTTGTGGCCAGCTTTGGAATCGGGTACAACATGCGTGAGAATAGGCTGCGGGAGCGAGAGAAGAGGACGCATCGACTTGAGGGGTTGAATGACGCTGAGAAGCGAGACCTCGGGCACAAGCATCCTGACTTTAGGTATATTCCGTGAGGTCGGATTGAGGTGGGCGATGAGGGTTTGAACAGGCAGGAACAGAGAGGGATATCAGTAAGCCAGGCGTAAGAGGTATCTACATACTTGTACAAGTGTGCACAGCACCAGTACCACCAGTACTTAGTTAGGTAGGGAGGTGAAGCCTTGCTGGAAACATCGAGAATTCGGCCGTGTAACAAAAGTGGCGCCGGACAAGAATATCCGCATCCACGTGATGACGCAGGTCTTTTGCCTGGCCAATCAACGACCCCTTATCAGCCTGTGCGTCATTGGGGTGTGGCGGCGCCTCGGGATGGATTTGTCTGGCGAAGCTTCTTTATGCCTGCGTCGTTCGATGTACACTTAAGGACAACGACTCTCTTTTCTTTCGATTCACAACTTCTCTCCCATCTCGCCATCTGTCACAGGAGCACATACACCATGTCCTTCATTCTCCGGAGGCCCTTTGCGGTCTCCTCAAACACATTGCGACCACTTAGCAACCCGTCGACGCTCGTCCGGGCGTTCCATTCTTCTCCGAAATCATCAAACACCTTCTTCAACCCCCGGCCACTTGGCTCGACCTCGAACGCACAATCGCTGTTAAAGTCTGCAGCTCTGCGCAATGGCTTCAAGCGCGACTACCAGACGCCCTCGTACCAGCCCGCCAACCCAGCCGCGAGCGGGAACCTCACGCAACGGCTTCTCTACGGCGCTGCGCTGATCGGTGGAACGATCGTGGCCACCAATTTCATCTTTAACCGCGAAACGCGCGAAGATGGCGGCATGCCGCCTTTTGAGCGGGAATACCTAAATCAGACGTTTATGCACACCGGTCTGGGCATTGGGATTATAGGCCTTGCTGCCAGGACACTGCACACCAGCGGATGGAGTTACAGGCTGATGGCCACGAACCCGTGGCTGGTGGTCGGGCTGGGTTTGGCGGCCAGTATTGGCACCATGTACGGCACCATGTACACGCACCCTGACAAGTAAGTTCTCTTCTGCCTATACCCTGCAAGCTCAGAGGACATGTTGTGCTGACAAGATGAAATAGCTACGTTCAAAAATATGCCCTTTGGACAGCTTTCAACGTTACCCAGGCTGCCATCCTCACTCCGCTAATGTTCCTCTCGCCTGCGATCCTGGCTCGCGCTGGACTCTACACCATTGGCATGATGGGTTCGATCGCATTCGTCGGCGCCACGGCCAAGCAAGAGAAGTACCTATATCTGGGAGGACCGTTACTCGCGGGTGTCGCTATCGTCGCCATCTCCGGGTTTGCGCCCCTGGTTCTCCCCGCCACGGCTGTCCGCACGCTCGCCTGGACCGAGAACATTTGGCTATATGGTGGCCTCGCAGTCTTTGGTGGATTTACCCTCTATGACGTGCAGAAGATCTTGCACCATGCCAGGATGAGTGAGCGGGGATTGGTGAGAAAGGACGTGGTCAACGAGAGCATCTCGCTCGAATTGGACTTTTTGAACATCTTTATCCGGATGGCGCAGATTTTGAGCATGAGGCAGAATAACAGGAGATGATTGTGGGGAGTGGTGAAAGAACGGGAACAGCCTTGCATGAGGGCGGCGAGCGCTTTCTTTAAGAACTTGCAGGAAATCGCATGAACAAAGGGATCTGCAAGAAATTCGATGATTCACCGATTCAGTAGCACCATGGTTTCCAGGAGTTGATGAGCGACAGGAGGTTGGCGTCGACTCATCCCACTCATGCCGGCGCACTTCGCCTCCGAGTAGTCCATCAGGTTTGAATCGGCGAATGAGATGCATTCTCTCCTCTTGTCAGCCTTGTATTACTCCCCACGCGTGAATCTTCTTCTCGTCTTCCTGTCGAAGGCCTTACTTTGCCTGAACGCAGAAATGGTAGTTAGACTTGTTCGATTACTGAGTAACCTAGGTAGGGCCTCGAGGGCTAAAGCCTAGGTGAACCTCGTCCGAGAACTTTATAGGATACCAATCCTGAGGCCTCGGACGAAGCGCCAACATCTCCTTTGCGAATCAAACTCGTTGCCTCGCTAACGAAGGCGAAACAAAGGCCTTTTCACAGGTCTTGCAACGTCGATAGTCCTTCTATATCATATAGCGCTGTAGGGTCTTGCCATGGACATCTAGTCCTACATCAATCGCTAGGTTCTACCAGGTCAGTAAACGGCCATCGTAACCCCCCTGCCAGAGAACGATCTCAACGGCACGGATATCTCGCGGCCACACGTGTTCCGACCTTATAGCACTGCTTTTGAGGCGTCTAGGGTCGTCGCTTTGTGCTATTCGAAAGCTAGTTGATTTAGGTACGTCTATATCGCGAATAGGCGTCGTTGCGAGAGGTAGTAGCTACTAGAGCTACGGAGTAAACGGCGTTTGGCATCTTGAGACCGTGTTAGAAGGCATGTAGGTGGACAAAAGTTCGGGTGGCGATACAGAGGACGCAGTTTGCTTCGCCTGCAGAACTATTAGCTCTGGTCCGCCGGCTATCCTTGCAACTCCGAACAGACATGGGTTGGCGATGGGTACCAGAGGTAGACTTACTAGAGGGCGAAAGCTGCCAGCCAAGTCGAGTCACAACGGACAGCCCAGTCATATTGCCTACATACAGCCCCCAGACAACCCACGACAGCCCTAAAGTGCTTGCATCACAGTCACATGCCTCCGTGCTTGGTTCGTGTTGAGGAGACTCCACCTGAGACGCGGCGAGGGCGGGGGAGCGTGTCAGGCTTCCGCCTGTTTTGCGGAGTCGACTAGTGCTTTTCTGGAATATGTATGCCTCGTATGGGGGTACTCCTTGGCCGACGATTGGATCCCACGACGGCCCAAAACCCCCAGCCATTGAACTTGTGCATGTTCCTGCGCTTACTGGTTGGCGTCGCTCCCCCATGTCATTCTTGCATCTGCCCAAAATCTTTCTGCAGGTGTTGTGCAAGTACTTCAAGAAGTTGCGGGCGATTTTTGGTGATGCAGGGAGTGTTTAGAGGCCGTCCAGGCTGCATTGCAGAATGAGTAGAATCACATGCATAAAAAGAGGGACATATATAAAAAGAGGGATATGTATAAAAAGAGGGACAGACATCCCTTCTTGTGGCTCGATCCCTCTGGTACAATTCCCAACTTCGTTCCCTCACCAGCTGCAAGCCTGCGACTTTTCTCTAACTCTGGTCGACCTGAGTTCGTTAAAGACCATTTTGTTTCTCAGCATTATTAGCCAGCCAGATAATACACACCATGTCCGTCCACGCCTCTCGCATCTCGCCCGAGGTCATCAGCGGCATTTCCTTTGGGGTGATTATGTTCTTCATCGCCGTATACGCTCTTTGGCAGACCCGCCAAGCAAATCGTCATCGTCCAGGTACTGTAGCCATCTCTGTTGTTTCATCTTTCAAACCCATCCATGGTGGCTGACTTCATGTACAGACGCTGTCGTCCTCGTCCAAGGACGCAGACAGCAAGCCGACGCCTCGGACCAAGTCTGACGAAGCTTCTTTCTCCCTCACTACATCTTGTGGAGCTCGACACTTCCATTGCGTGATTCACGGCGACCATCCATCACGCCAGATCCCGGGCAAAATGGTGGCTTTGAGGGTTGAAAATACATCTGGCAGTGTATCGGATGGACTTGGTTGGCGTGGAGGGTTGAATAGTATGCTGGTGGTGTATCGGATGGACTTAGTTGACGTTAAAAGTTGGGAAATATACTGGCGGCGTCTCAGGCAGAGTTCCATCCTTTGAGAAAGGACAACATGTTTGCTCCGAGATGCTCGATGACATACCCCCCCTCAAGAAGAACAAGAGCTGGAACTGTCTTCAGTACCTGCCTCGTTGTCCTTGCAATAGTCTCATAATCTTCTGTATGGATCTGAAAATGCCCTAATGGGTCGGCGTGGAACGTGTCAAACCCCAGGCTCACAATTAAGAACTCAGTCTTGAACTCCACCAGTTTCTTCAGACCGTATTCAAGTTTCGTCAGATACTCTTCAATTGAACAGCCGACTTTGAGCGGAAGGTTGATGTTCATGTTCTGTCCTTCGTCTATCCCCGTCTCGTCTTCCTCGCCGGTGTAATACGGAAACTCGTCTTTGCCGTGGATACTCACATAAATAACCTTGGCGTCGGCGTAGAAAATCTCCTGTGTGCCATTGCCATGGTGGAAGTCGATGTCCAGGATTCCGATCTGCGCATTAGGCTGATGCGAACGCCATGAGCTCACCGCTAAAGCAGCGTTGTTGATGTAACAGTAGCCACCTGCTCGTTGGCCATCACAGTGGTGCCCTGGAGGCCGACATAGAGCGACGACAGTGTCAATGTCGTTGGGAAGCCCATTGTCAAAGCTAGAAAGCATGTCTGCCCCTTCACATGCGAGGTTCGCCGATGCTACTATGGCTCGATAACTCTCTGACATGATGCCACTGCTCATATCAAAGGCATAATACCCTGCTCTTGCGAAGGGGTCTTTAGGTGCACGTAGCGGCTTTCTCGTGGAAGTGGGAAACACAAAACACTCCGGCAACACATGGCCATCTCTGTCTATCAGACCCGCCGAGAGCCACTCCTCGTATACGTCTCGTAGATGCTGTAAATATTCGAGGCCGTGGGTTTCTGAGGTGAGTCTCAGAAGTCGGGGATTTGGGCCTTCCCTCACAGAGCTGATTTGTTTGGTGCAACTCCTATATTCAGAGTGGTGAAGAGCTTTCAGGATTGCTTCAAGACGTTCCGGTGACTCCAAGGCAGGGATGAGGTTGGAGCCTAACAACTCCACGGTTTTGTGGAGGAGCGTGTCAGGGTCCCACAGGATCACCAACATCTTGAACGACGTCTGTTGTGCGGTTTCTGATACAAAGCATGGCAAATATCGAGGTTGTTTCGCCGACAGCCTTGTCGAAATTGGGACTCGCCGCCGCCTCGAGCACGGTATGTCAGGTTGTCAAGATCGGAATGGTAAGCTGAGTCTGAGATTTTAGGGTTAAGTAGGATTGTGCGGGTGATAATGGGCCTTGCCGTCACTAACTCGCTTCGGTCACACAACATCTGCCGAGGCCACGGAAGCACGTGACCCCTTATCACGAGGCATGTGCTCCGTCTCTCAAAAGTTCTGTGTATACATATTGCCGTATATCGGGCCCTGTGGGGGAAGAGATGAGCGACTCTGTTGTGGCTCTATCGAAGGCATTGGCTGCATATCATTGTCTAACCGAAGTTAGTACCAACCCGTTTCAAGTGGTCCAAGGTCGTCCCAATGCACACTTACTGCTATTGATGAACTGCATGAGCCGTGCATTCTTTTGTCGGAGGTTCCTGCAGGTATCCTTCATGCTCTGGAGAGATCTCTGCTGTGACTTTGCAAAGTTGTCGAGGATGACGGCCATGTTTGCCAGGAATGCCCTGCCTGACGTTTGAGGGTTAGAGCGAACCTAAAGGGAGAAACGCAATGGCTACGGATACTTACTTGGTTGAACAAGATCCGCGGCTAAGTCGCCCGCAGCCATGCTGTTGTCGTGTGAAGACCTGTTCATGAAGCCGAGGGCTGCAGCTTGAACAGCTCGAGTGTAATCCTCCACAAGTGGCAACACATCATTCTGGAGAGGGCCATCGTTGCCCGTGCCGGGCTCTAGAAATAAATCGTCTATGCCCAGCGAAGGGTGCAATGGAGCCGCGTCGGCAGCAGCAAGCATTGGTGTTGAGTCCACATCCACCACAGCAAACTGGATCCCTGGATTGTTATCGAAACCGGTCTGGTTTAATGTCTCCGAGCCCAGAGGGACTGGTATAGTGTTATTGAACCCCGATTGCTCAGTCATCATGTCCTCGGGCAACATTACTGGAGCCATCGCCATGTCGGTACCAGCCATGACGTACTGACTAAAGTCTGCTGATAATGACGGCACCGAGGGTTCGGTGATAGGGAAACCAAATGTCGGGTCGTTTGCACTTACCGAGAAGCACTGATTGCCATTTGGGACGCCGCCTACCGGGGGGGTTTGCGAGGATGTCGGATCGTCCGGAAAGACCGTGTAATTTGTTTGAGCTCCAACAGCGCCAAACCGATGAGTTCCATCTGCTTGTGTCTGACCCCATTGACTGTGGCCGACGGAAAGAGGAAGGTTATTGGGATTAGCAGACGTCCCGTACGCGCCGGGTTCATGTCCTTGAAAGATTTGAGGTTGGAAGGTTTGCAGTCCACTGCCGGATTGTGTTGAGGCCATGTGGAATCCGTCGTTGCTGGAACTCCGTTGCATTTCCAAACCGAGTTGGTTGAAGTTAAATGGGGACTCCATTGAGGCATTTGCGGAGGGATCCGAAAATTCTTGTTTGAATTGTGGACGCGGCATGTCGGTGAAGGAAGCAGATCTTGACCTCGACCTCGAGCGACTGAGTTCTCGACGGGCGAAACGACGCAGGTTGCGATCCTCGTGTGGTTGGAGATTGCCGCGCTCGTCCACATGTGAACGAGGTCTTCGACCAGGACGACTCACATCGTAGACGGTTTTGCCGGTTTGCGCAATCTGATGAAGCCTTTCCTCTCGATTTGCGTACTTTGAAAATCCCCACTGCTTGATTTTGCGCTCCCATTGGCGGGGAGTGGCGCTGAAGTTGAAGTGTTCTTTCATGTACTCTGCGGCTTCCTTGCGCGTCATGCCGTCATCAATGTAACAAATGCGGAAATTCTCCTTCTGCGACTCCCAATCTTTTTCGTCGTGATGGGTGTCCAGAGCCTGCAAATCGTCGTCAGAGGCCATGATTGTAACACCAAAGAGAAGACAACGGAGGTATGTCGATGCTGATAAGAGTGCTTCTCAGCCTGATGGCGTGGCGCTTGTCACCTGAGACTCTCAGTCACAGAGTCTGATAATCGCAACAGTGAAAACTTCAAGAGGTGGATGAGTGTGTTACTGGAGCCGAGAAGCAGATCATTGATATCTTGCACGACATAACGACAACAACCTTTGCGTCGATGTTCAACGGAAGAAAAGCGCCGACTAGCAGATGATGCTTGGTGGTAACCGGGGTCAAGGGCTTAGGGCTTTGTCTCGGATACACCGTTGAGCGCCAGCCCGCCGTGCCTGTTGTTGGTTTTGGCCCCGACTTAGTGGCCCTGCGGCTGAAAGGTTTGGTGTCTGGTTCGAAGTCGCCGGCACGATCCAGGGCTTTGGATTGCGCCTGACCAACCAATTCGTGGGGTCAGTGGGCACCCAACGGACACCTAACCACTAATGACGGGCGATGCTGACCTCGCCCAGAGGAATTGTGATAGTGGGTGGTTGCGGCGGTGATCATTATTATGATGGGGGTTGCGGATTCAGCCTGCGGCGGGGTGGATGGCGGATGGTTGGATGGTGGGTGTGGCTGACGTGGCTGGTGAGCATCGCGCCTTTCTGCGTATTATGACCTTATGGTTCTCCGTGGAAGCAAAATACGGTCAAGCATTGAGCAGCTCATGACATTCTGCCATTGAACAAAATCCACGTCCACACGCCCATTTCCTCATCCTCTCCGTCACTCCCATCCAACCTCTGTTCAATGAGAAACCAACAAGGCTGTTTTTGCCCGATGGAATTGTCGCCTCGCTCTGTAGCTTTTGCTACGATGTCCTACCACCATCCAATCGATGATATTCTCCTGTTGGGTTTGCCAATTTCCCATCTATCGTCTGAATTCGACGTTGTCTGAGCCGCCCAAATCCTCATCATCCCTGCGTGATGACCTGCATCAATCTTTGGACAAACCATATGAGACACAGTGCGTGATTTATGCTGTGTGATTTGGCCACAACGCTGCAATGATGCCTGCAACCTTCTCTCTTACCATTGTCTATATAATTTCTCGCCACCCCACACCATACTCTGTGTCTCCAGAGACACGAACCATGCAATGCCTTGGGCAAGGCCGGGGTTCCGCTGACAAGATCATCCTTGACATCCATGGCGACCTTCAAGATCATAAGCTGGCTATTCACTGCCACTTGGATGTATGCTGTGTCCTTTATCTGGCAGGTTAGCAATGCTATCTTCAAATGGACGCTGAATTCAATCCCTGGCTGTGAGTATAAGTGATGCTCTTGGAGTGAGGGGGAAGAGGGTATGTGGGCTGACCGGTCTAGATACCGAGCATCGTGGAGCTGAGCACCCACCGCCTACCCTCGAGCGCGAATGCTCGCCATCTACGTCGTCGAGCTTGAACGTCCATCTGTCCGAAGGAAGACTACCAGACACCCCGCCTCCTGGACCACCGCCGCAACCCATTGGCCCCGACGAGCAAGATTTTCAGGGGATGGGAAGTTGGGGCACTTTTGCAACGGAATTTAGGGTAGAGTCTGGGGAAAGAACCTTGCAGGACTGGTAGTTGGCGGAAGCTTTTGGGTGGTCATTGGGGTCGACGGGAGCCCACCTGTCTGGGGAACGGTGCTTACTAGAGGCATTCAGGGGAATGTTGTGTACTAGCAGATGGAATTTTCCGAACGTGCAAACAGCCAGAACATCCAGGGGCTGTTAATGTATGTATCACTGGCACGACTGGGTACTTGACCCTAAGAAATCGCTCACGTGGCATCGTGAAGTGGTCGCGTCATGATGCTGCCGAGAAAGGGTCCGTTTGCGCCCCTCGGTCCGCATCACTTTGTTTTGGCAAAGACAGAACAATTCCGACTACCATCAACCTCAACAACACATGCCAGTGCCCTTTCGATCGGCACACCTGCCTTCAATATCTGAATTGTATTTTTTCGATGATACCCTGGAACCGCATTGGCAGTCACAACTCTGCGCCGATGGGCCGTCGAACGCCTCTTCACCATGTCCGGCGCGGTCGTAATTCTTTCGTCCTCCCCTCCACGAACATTTGCCTGCTCTCCCACCCCCGATGAGACTCTATCTCCATTGCGGTCACCACGTGCCCTTTCCACACTCAATCCGGCCGATGCAGAACAATTTAAGGACTCCAGACGGACTAGAGACGGGTTCTCAAGCGGTTACAGCAGTGCACGTGCCCTGCTCACAAAGGTTGCCGCTGAGAACATCCCTGTCCGGTCTCAGCCAAAAGATGGACTCAAGACCAAAATCTTACAGCGTTCTGAAGATCTTACCGGGAAACCACTCAAAGCAGCAAAGCCTGCGGAAAAGAACAAACAAGCTATAGCAGAGGAGCGATCTAAACACTTCAAGTCCATACAGTCGCCTTCTCCTATGCCACCTCCAAGCCACGGGGGTTCGCAGGCGACCAGAGCGCATATACAAACCTCAGGGACAGACTTGAAGTTCATTGGAAACGAGGGCCTCTCAAATGAGCGCGAAAGCCTCGTTGACTTATATTCCAGCCCGCTCTCCTTAGAGAAGGCCATTCCGAGGCGCCTGGATTGGACACCTGTCAAGCCGACTGCACATGCCTTGGAGACTCCAAACTCTGAAGATCGAGTCGTGGGATTTACTAATGATCTCATGGACTTTTATGCCTTTGCCCCCTGTGCCACAACGGCTGTTGAGACAACTACAACAACGGACGCAAATGAGACACGACTGAGTAGGAGAAGAATCGACCTTGTCATGACCACTGAGGCAAAGCCTTCACCATCCTCGTGCAACCCACAACCTTACAAAAATCTGGTGAGATGTGACAAAGCCGGAAGGGCAAAGCCCGCACCCAAAAAGCCTCTCACGATCACGGGATTGGTCACTTCGAACTACAATGACGGCCGACGCAACGACAAGAAGTTACCGCCTATGCTGGAATATCTTACAGCAACACAAGTTGGTGCAAACACCGAAGGAGACTCCACCGTTGAAACCAGTTCGAAAACCGCGAAATCAAAAACAACAAACAAGAAAGCACGGGCAACCAAGAAAGCAGCGGCCAAAACTCGATTGAAATCTCCTACGTCCGCAATAAAGACCACTATGGAGCAACCGGTTCTCTTTGGCCCAGCGAGTCAATTAGCTCGGGACGAATCGCCTACACTGACGCGGGATACGGTGGAAGCACTGAGGCGCTCGGAATGCTTCTCTTCTGACCCCATATCACCATCGTTGACACAGCCCGCTTCGATTGAGTCAGCTTCACCTATCTTCTGTCGTGGTACGAGCCGATTTGTGAAAAGAAGGAACTTGTGGGCTGCGGCTGGTCGAGACGAAGATAATGCTTTGCTGCAGGTCGACTGTGTCGACCTTACTGATTCACCTGCTGTTCGCCTAGCTCTTGCAGGAAAAGACGTCCTTGTTCAACCTGTCGACCGGGACCACCCAGAAGCAAACACTTTCGAGAATGATGTACCAATACTTGCCCAAGAGTCATTTCCCAAAGTTGGAGAAGCCGGGTCCCTGGTCGACATCGACGATCTTGTCACGCCCAGCCGTCCAACACCTATCTATACGTCTGCACAAACAGGTGTCAAGCTATACCATACGTCCCGTACACTCAAGCAGCCGCAAAAGGGAGCCGATATTCATCACAAGGACGACAAGTTGCATACGAAAATAAGGGATGTTGCATCGAAACTAAAGCCATCTATGCCATCCTACGTGGGATTCTCCGATCACGAACTGAAGAAACAGATATCTGCGTACGGCTTTAAAGCTGTTAAGAAGCGAGAGGCGATGATCGAGCTACTCGAACGATGTTGGGAAAGCAAACATGGTCAGCAACAGGAACATGATGGTGACGATGCCTCTAATGATGTGATGACGCACGCCGATTTACTCAGTAGGATTCACGACGTCTCCACTAGACCAGCTCCAAAAGTCAAGAAGCCTCGCGCGAAGCGAAAATCCGAATCTGACGACACCAACAAGACCAAGGAGCCGAAGAAGAGGAAGAAGGTAGCAACCAAACCGAATGGTCCTGCCCAAAAGGGAGGGAAAGGCTCTCGGAAACGCATGTCAAAGGCGCCGACGGATGAGAAAGTTGTGGACGTTGATGATTTGGATGATGCTCATCAGCAAAACATTGGAGGCCACAATCAGGGAATCTTTCCAGCACAGGAAGAGACAGAGACCCCGAGACTTGAGACTGGAGATGCAGCTCAGAGACTCATCACACCATCACCAACGGTGCCGCAACCAAGTTCGCAAGGTCGCGAACCTTCCCGTGCTCAGAGCGCAGATCCAGACTCCAAACTGGACAGATCTCCAGTTGGAGGTCTTAGCCTTACGCCTCAGCACACTCCTATACCAGACATTCTGTCACAGATACATGCTGCTATCTATCACCGCCCAGAAACTCGGTCGCTTAGTGGGACACCTCGAAACCATCAAATATCGCCAACCTGGCACGAGAAAATTCTCATGTACGATCCGATTGTGCTGGAGGAGCTTACGGTCTGGTTGAATACAGAAGGCTTCAAGGCGATAGGAGAAGATCGCGAAGTAAGCCCCATGGAAGTCAGGAAGTGGTGTGAACAGAACGGCGTGTGCTGCTATGGAGTAACAGGAGGATGGAGAGGTCGGGGTCGCCGACAGGATGCTGACTGAAGCACTTTTCACTGAACAGAGGTCGCAATTCTCATGGTGCTGAAAAACAGGCTGGTAGAGAGTGCTTAACGGGATGTTATGAACAGCGAAGGGGTTCTTTGGTGGAGGTACGATTATCCGTTGCACTCACATTCAAGCGAATAAATGAAGGCTTTGGATAGCGTGCGCGTTCTTGCGGTAACGGCGAGAAGATTACCTAAGCAAGCTAGGGAAGTGCCTGAGGACAGTGTACCAGTATGTACCTCGTATTACTCGGTACCATGTACGAGTCCTTGTAGGGAGTTCGAACAATACGAGTAGATCAGCTACAGTGGAGATCATCCCCGCAACTCTCTCTGCTCAAGTTCGCTAGGCCAGCAGGTGGCGTGCGATGTTCAATGCACAGACGATCATCACAAACCTGCGCTCTGCTGGTAGGTAATGAATTGATGTGCGAGCGGTTCAATGCAACTTCTTACCATAGGCCACCAGCTTCCCCTATTTCTCTAATCAACCCTTCGCTCGCTGTTCTGCTTTGTCAAGGGCTATTTTCCAGCACTTGACGGGACTCTGGAGAAGCAAATTACAGGCTTTCTTCCCGGTGGTCAAAATATGTGTTTGGGCTAAATCGCATGGTTGTGCCTTATGCTAAAGTGACAGGAACCCCGTCGATTGACACAGTTCATTTTGAAGATGCCATCGATCAGGGTCACGAGCGCGACTCTCTTCTCTTGAAAGGATGAGCCTGAGTAGTGTCCATCCTAGCCAGTCCGCATCCCCAAATACCTCTACGAGTTTTCTCCCACCCCCTCGCCAAATTCGATTCGTCTCGACCGATGGCCAACCGCACACAAAGAGGAGGCGAATCAATGCTGCTTGTCTGACGTGTCGCAAGAGGAAGACGCGATGCTCAGGTGAGCGGCCTGAGTGTAAAACCTGCACGGACAACAAACATGTGTGCTCCGGCTATGCCGACCGTCCCAGCCGCAGAGACGGCGAGAGACTTGATGAGGATGGTGAAGAAGAGGCCGACTCTGGCTCCTCCACGCCTCAAAAGCAGAGCCGAGATGTGGAAGTCACGACGAAGCTGCGGGCGAGCTCAGAGAAAGAAGCGGACAACAAGCAGAGAGATGATGCCGGAGAAGTGATAAGTCCTTCAAGCAATCACACTGGCAGCAGCGTCGCCTCTGCGAGAAACCGGGTCCCCTACTTTCGATATTTTGGGCCGACCGCGATCGTGCCTGGGTTCAAACAGATGGTGGTGCAGGTTAAAGACCATAGACCAAGCTTGCCTTCAACCTCTGGAGAGTCTCCAGCTGCGGGACAACAGCTAGATGGAAACTTTGCTATTGGCCATGATCGCATGCGCATTGGGATACCCTTTTATGATGCTACGGATCCGGAGCAAAATGCGCCTCTGATCACCCACCTTTGCGAAACTTTCTTCACCCATCTCGGGTGCAACTACCCCTTTCTCCAACGCGACAGATTCCTTCGAGATTTGGAGGAGAAGAGAGTGGATGCGATCCTGGTTGACGCTGTCTGCGCCGTTTCGGCGCGATTCTCAGGACACCCGCTTCTTTGCAAATCCAACGACCCCTCTATCCCAGTGGACGCCGAAGGAAATGTTAGGAGAGCCTTTCGAGGACAACCCTTTGCACAAAGAGCCATGTCAGCAGTGATAGACACATTTTCTTGCCCAACTATGGCTGTTGCTCAAGCCTGTCTCCTTCTCGCCTATGAGGAGTTTGGCGTAGACCACGACAGCGGGTTATGGATGTACCTTGGGACAGCCATTCGCATGGCGCAGGACCTCGGAATTCAAAAGCTCGAAGGTCTACAGCTCGAAGGGCGGATTGGGCCAACTCCAAAGACTGCTAAACATAGTCAGCAAGGTAAGGCCGAGGAGCAGAGGAGAGCTGAACAGCAGCAGAAGCTGTCCAGCAATCTCTGCGAACAGGAGAGTAGCCAACTGGACGACCGAAGGGCCAGCGAACAGGAACGAATCGATACCTTCTGGGCCATCTTCTTTCTGGACCGAGCTGTCTCATCAGGGGTTGGCCGTCCGGTCACTCTGCGAGACAAGGACATCGAAATCTCCTTCCCATATCGAGCCGATGACAAGATGATCAATGGGTTCCCTGATCCGTTCCCTGCCATGATTAAGATTGTTCACATGTATGGGCGAGTTGCGGATGTTCTCAACAACATAAAGGAAGTCAGCCAGGTAACGCCAGACGTGTTGAACCGGTTAGCAATCATGGAGAGAGATTTGACAGGTTCGCTTTCGTTCTCTTATTGACCCTCTGCTAGGCTGAGCTGACCAAGACAAGGCATATATCAACGGTTGTCGCCTAGACTGCATTTCAATGCCACCAATTTCCAGCATTATGTCAAAGCGGACCATGGTACAAACTTCATCCTACTGCATTTCTGGTTTCATACCTTGATCGTGCTTCTTCACCAACCGACTCTGCTGCACTCGTTCGAAGGACGCATCCAACAGTTGTTCCCCGACAGCAGAGAATTATCCATGTCGTCGGCAAAAACCATCGCGGATATCCTGGCGTTTGCAGAGCTAATTGATGTAAAGAGCTTCATCGGTAACCCTTTTACAAGTCAACCGATGTATGTTGCGGCGTGCGCTTTTTTGGCAGAAGCTGCTGCTCATGCCTCTCAGCCGCCGTCTCGAGCGACGTCTCCGCCATCAAATGGACCTACGCCTCGGTTGAAACAAGACGTAATTGCTCATAGGACGCATATCACAGTCTCTGCGCGCCATACACTTCTCGCTACCGCTGCAAATCAAAACTATCAGCGGTGTTACAAGGCGTTAAAAACCTTGGATTCTTATTGGGCTGGTTGTCGCTATATATTGACGGCGCTCGACCAAAAGTCGAAAGGCTTGATGGATCCATTGCTGTTTACTGCGGATGATGTTGACGGAGAAATGCCATCAACAGAGCCTTCGTTTACTACTCCCGGCTGGCGACGAAGCACCTCGCTCGCCGCTTCGCTAGGAGCATACGGCAGACTGAGGTCGCTCAATGCACTGTCGGGCCGCGGACCAATATCTCCTTCCATGGTTCTCAGTAACGCAATTGGGTGGTCGTTGACGGGAACGGCCAACTCCCTAGCCCCGAACCTTAGCTTCCTGTATCCGACCGGAGGCGAAACCGCAAAGGCACCACAGGGGGGCTCTTCGGGGAAGGAACAGGACGAGACGACCCAGGGTCCCATGCCTAGGAGAAAAGTCGAAGCGCAGTGGCGGAATAGGAGTGTCTCCAATCTTCAGGACACGACCACCAATGATCGGTTGGGACAAGCCTCTCCCGCAGAAACCTCGACCCATGCCAACAAAGCGTCGTCTGTGCCTTACGATCCAGTATCAACGGCTGATGCAGATTTGTTGCTTGGACTTCACTCGCCATATACCACCAGTTCAGCTCCCAGACACGTCCAACTCAGCCAATCTTCGAATGCGTATGGGTATTCACAACAAGCGCAACGCTATGCCGGTTCTTTAAGTCGTCAGCAACCAATCACTGACGCGCAAAGCCAAGCCTACAGCGACATGCTGATCGAATCACAAGACATCGACATGAGCTCTGGGCAGCAATTCAACTTTGATTTTCCAGGGGGCGACATGATACCCTGGTTGGAATATCTGCCACAGGATGTTTTGAGTTACTTTACAGAACCTCAAGCAGGGACATGATTGTCATGACCTTTCGCTAAGGATTCTGCTCTGTATCTGCGTAAATGCCCTCCAACGGAACAGGCCAGCCGAAATAGGATTCCACCAGCAATATGCCTCAAACTTTGTCATAAGAATTACAAGAAACAAGTTGTCAGTATCACAGGCTCAGTATATACAAGGGCAACTTTCTGAGGATGGATATCCAGCGCCCAAGAGCGCAGAGTGTTGTTGCCGTTTTTAAACAAGCGATCATCCACGCTATAAGCGGCTAGATCCTCCTCTCTTTTGGGAGACTCGGCGCCTATGACCGGCCAACAAATGACGCTGTTTTTATTCCAACGTCTCTTCTGCCCACGAGTACGAGTTACGAGTTATTCTCCACCCGATACCTAGTTACCTACTGGTAGGTACTGACCAAGATGAGAGAACACGTCGAGTTGTTCAAGAGCTCACGAAGACGCAGCGAACATGACCATCCTTTTTCAACTAGGAGGAGATTGGGGTTAGGACCGAGCCCTTCCAAAGTCTTTACTCACCTAAGTTTCCCCTAAGGCAGGCAGGTATGGGGGTCTGCAAAGCTACCTGGCATGCACAGACCTTTTGGTTCGCGGGATAGACAGACAGAGGGACCTGACAGAATTCTTCACGCACATGAGAGACAAGTCTTCTCCATCTCCGTCTCCATCTCGCTTGGACTACTGGCCCTCTCGAATCACAGATGACAGATGACAGACGTGACACCCACTGCGAGTTTGACTTCCCAAAGGACGAGGTACGAGCTGGTGGGAATGGGTGGGTGGGTGGCGCATTGCAAGCGAGCAAACAAAGACTCTCAAGAAACTAAGCCTGCAGTTTAGTCTTCAAGGGAGGGTCAAACTCGTTCCAGTCCCACGCTTTCTCCCCTGCCGCCTTACCTGTCTGTCGGCCTGTCTGTCCGCTTGTCTCTCTCTCTGTGTCTGTGGCAGGGCCCGCGCGGCCCGAACTCTCATCTCACCCCACGCGCGGCACTCGGAGGTACAGGGCTCAGCTGCTTCGAGTCCGTCTTGGTTCTTTTCTTGCTCCTACTCTACAATTTGAGCAGGAGGCCGTTTTCAATGGGAACAAAATAGTACTGAAAAGAGCAACATACAAAACAGCTTCCTTTCAGTTTTTTTGAAACGAAAATAGACCGCGGCAGAGGGAGGAATTCATCAAGATGCTGCCAGCAGGCAGAGAGAATGTGGGAGCTTCTTGACCGCCCCGCCGCCTGGCCACGTATCTGTCACGAGCCAGCCGCATATGATCATCCCTTCCCTTTGCTCCCAATTCGACCGGCCACTCTGCATGGTTCCTGGGTCTGGTCACGCGGGCCTCTCTCGCCAGGTGGTAGGACTCACGTTCTGTGGGCACTCTGTCCACACACCATGACAGTACGTAACCGATAAGGAGAAGGCGCCAATCACGCTCCCCAAACACCGCAGAGCCAGGCTCTCGAGCTTCTGCGTCTGTGACACGGTCTTTGCTTATTGCGTGGGGATAGGTATCAGGGTGGTTCTACACGGTGGAAATCTCCTTACTTTCGAGTTCTGGGCTGGGAAGAGATCACCACGGCTTGGATGAGAGAAACAAAGGGTATAAAAAGATGCTCCTCTTCTTTCTTTTCTCCTCTGATCTTTTCTTCCCTCATCACCACTCCGCAAAGAACAACAAACAATAGAAAAGACAAAACATACCTTTACCAAACCAACTTCAACAAGTCAACAAGACTTTTTCAAGACTTCCCTTCGCAATGGAACCACACTGCAGCACCTGCCAACACGGCTCTGGCGAATGCAAGGGTTGCACATGCTGCTCCGTATGTCTTTTCTCTTTTCCTCTCACCGTCTGCTACACATCCCAGACAAAAGTATCGTTGCTGATGTTGTTCAAAAGCACTAAATCTCTTCCATCGACATATCCCTAGTTCTTGACGGGCGCGGAGGAGGAGGGCTGGCCGTATCGTGGTTTGCGCTGCACTGTCACCAGTCAAATGATATCTCTTGAGCCGTGGGCTGGAGATCAGCGTGAACGGGTCACAAACGTCAAAGGATTGTGGGATGTCACTCTCTCTCCCACGCGATGGAAATAGCAATCAGTCCTAGATAGCAGCAACGGTCAGCAATACATCGTCTAGTGTCTGAATTCTTTGTCTCATGCATAAGATTACCATCCCACGTACCATCGAGTGAAGAGTCCTGGAAACGGAGATTTCCTTGTAGTGTCAGTGTCTGGCCGCCTTCCGTTCCTGCCTGCGCCTGCGCCCTTTCATCAGAAGAATTCCGACGAATAGAATAGGTCCAGTTCCCACGACATCTTTTCAGGCGGGAACCCTCCATCGTGGTTCAGTTCAGTAGTTCCATGGCACCTGTTGTCCTCTTGAATCCCTTGAAGCCGTACTCCCGTACCAAGGCTTCTGTTCAACAAAGTCCATACCACGTTCTTTGGTATTACATCCCTCTAGTCCAACTCTTCCTAGAGGCCAAGGGGCTGCACTCATGCAGTGTTACAGGGACAGTGTAGCCTGCACCGTCGACACATGAGTGAGACATTGCTGTTTCCCTCGAAAGTCTCTTATGTTCGGCACTCCAAGGATGGACATACGATCGACTCTCATGCAGCAGCCTAACTTCCGGCCAGTAGAAGGAGGCCACGGCACCGACACGTCTCAAGATGATGGCACGGCCAGGGGTGAGAGGATGGTATGGATTGGCAACCATGTGCTTATTGCATGGCTTGCAGATGTTGTAAGCTCCTGTCCCTCTCTTTGAATCTTCCTGGGTGGCTGGGGAGTCGACCGCCGAGTTGGTAAAGGTTGTCGATGTGGAAAAGAGTGGCATGGCTTTGTCAAGTCCTGTTATTAGGCCCTGACACAGGTACAGAGATGCTGCTTCGTTTTCCAAACTGCATATGGAGTGACAGACTGCATTGTTTGCTGGATTGAGCTCTGCTTCTAGCTGACTATCGCCAGTAGTACGCTAGGGCATGCTTCACTGTCATCGCCCTCTTACCTCCGGTGTCGTGGTAGGACGAATTGACGTTCCTCTCTGACAGTCGATTGAATCATCCTCTTCCCCATCTGGCCCTTGCTGGTTGGACGACGGAAACAACATGTCGAGGGTGCAGCTGCTGGACTATCCGATACGAGTACCTCCTTTGGCCCCGACCTGGGAGACATGACAGCGGCTGGTGTAGGAGTAGGATCGCCTTCACGAAGAAGTTGAGAGGAATGGGGTCTGGTAGCGTCAAGCTCCTGTCCGGTACAGTGTTGCTGGAGCTCATTGACTGTGTCTCCGCAGATGTATCGCATGCATGACCTTGATGGTCAAAGGCATTGCGACAGATCCCCAGAGAAAGACATAAAGGCCAAACCCAAATACCTGGACAACAGAGGCAAGGGAGAGGGGAGAGAGAAGAGAAGAGGAACAACGACCATGAAATCCGTCGAGGTGCAGGGTGCTTTGTACATATGTACATATAGCCTCAGGGGGGACGCGACCTACACAGGTCTTGCTGAGAAGGGAAATAGCAGGGGGATGCCCGAAAAAAGTGAGGACCTTAAGATCCCCCTTCCCTTCCTTTCTCCTTTCCCCAGTGATTCAACAGCATTATTGGACTTGTCATGAATCAGGAACCCTCTTTTCCTCTCTTCGACCAGCGCACCATCCACAACTGCATGCGATTTACTGAGCTAAGACCGATTTCGCTGCGAACCCTGGTTGTGTGTCAAGTACAAGAGGGAAATCAACACGAGGTATGTACTAGGTACTCTGGCGGTGTGCTAAAAGTTGGACAGCTGCTTGTCCCTGGCAGAGGTCAGAGAGTACGAGTGAGTACTCCGTGCATTCGATCTTACTACGCTGATCGCAATGAGAGACGCGAGAGAGAGAGAGAGGATAATATGTCCACTCTCTGTGAGCGAGTTCGTCATGGATCACGTTCTCACCCGTCGGCACCGTTTGATACTTAATGGAGAGGATGTCTCTCTTTCCCTTTCACACCTCCCAGTCTCCCGCAATCTACGCATATAGCAAAAGACAGAACGATATGAACTCCTACCATCGCCGTCCCTTCGCTTTCTTGCGTCAAGGCACTTACTCTGAACTCAGCCATCTGTGGTAGCTGTGATAGCTTCAGGTCGTGCAGGTGATGAATCGCAAAGTGAGGACCTTAAAGACCAATCAGTTGTCCGTAAAACGGATTCCGAAAAAGGAAAGCGGGTCCAGGTCCCAGACGGTACGGCACGAGACGCTTTGCCAAATTGGGTCATTTGTGGAAAAGCAGCAAGAGGTAAAGTACTCGGTAAAGCTCGAATACGAGTACAAGGAGTCGAGGATGAGGACGACTATGAGTGCGGGTGAGTGATACATGTAGGCACAGGTAGAGTATACACAGCACCTACCTACCTACCTACTCTCGAGAGTCAATACTTGGTGGCTTGAGGATACCGTCCAAGGTACCTCTGTACCGAGTATGTACGGGTACATGCCTTTTAGTAATACCCGAGGTACCAACAACCTGCAACCTTAAGCGGGCTACGTCACCTCCTACTCGTTCTCGTGCTTGTACTTGTAATTGTACGGAGTACTGGTGCCTCTTGATTCGGTCAATCGCGAACCCAAAAAGCAGCGATGGCAAATCCACCCGAAAAGGACAAGCTGGTTTGTGGTAGGTAGCGAGCCCGATCAATCGAACACCGAGTTTGCGAGTCGAGCGAAATTTTAAAAAAACAAAAGATCGGACTACCTACCTACCCTACATGTGTGACCTGCCTGTGATGTGACCCATTGTCTAAATACGAGGCGCGGACAGATGGATGGATGATGTGATCAGACTCAGACTCAGGCTCGGAGTCAGGGTCGGACACTAGTATGGCCGTGCGCGGTACATAGTAATCACATCAACTCAACTCAAGTCACCACTCTAGCCGGGTGAGTGAGTGAGTATATTAACAGCTCGCATGAGACATTTGGCTTCCGAGTAGATTAGATTTACTTTCCAGT